TCCCCTGTAGCTGTTACTCAGATGGAGTTCTTGGCATTTTTGTGTTATTGTAGTGATTGGGGCCCAGGGTCTCACTATGGATCCCTAGCTGGACTGGAACTTGTTCTGTAGACCAGACTGGCCGTGAACTCACCGAGATCCTCCTGCCTCTGCCTCCTGAGTGCTGGGATTCCTGACTGCATTACCATAGCTGACTGCTTAGATGTTCTAAGGAACCATAGAGCCAACAGTATTGTACGGGACAGGGTCCAGCCCTGAGGAGGTGTAGAGCACTTGGGCCCTCTATGGCTTCTCCCAAACCTTATGTAGACAAAATAATAGTCAAGGTGCCTCTTCTAATGCTTGGCAGCCATCTTGGGGAGTGGCCGGTGTCCAAACTCTCAAGTCTTTCTTACGGCTCAGCTGCTGTGTGTCGGTCGGTGCAGCTGAGTTTGGATCTGAGTGCTTTGGCTCCTTTTATCTGACCGTGGGTCACTTTGTCAGCTCCAGCAGGATGCCACAGCAGTGCCGGGGCACCCTGGGAAAATATGTCTGAGATGTGAAGAGAGAAGTGAGTGGAAGAAGATACGTTGGTGAGATTCCCTGGCCACAAGCAGCGTTTTCTGTAATGTAGAGTCAAGTGTTCCAGGAGAGAAATATCTTCTTCTGCCATCCCGCTTTACACTAAACGCTCCATCTTCGTTAATTGTGCAACTGGTACACTAGCAGCTCCTGGCACAGATGAAGATTTATTCATGGAGTCATTTCTGATTGTTTTAAAATTCACAGCTGCCACTGTTTATACCCTCAGAGAAGACGCAAGGCCTTGCTCAAATGTCTCTCTGAGCAAGCACGTTACTGAGCCAGTCCCACCTCCCCCTGGGCCAATACTGATGGGGCATGTCCTCGCTCCAGGACCCGTGCTGAGGAAATGCCAGTGCTCACCAGATACAAGGTGCTGCCCTCACAGGCTGTGGACACTTAGTTCAAGAGGAAAGAGACATTCCTCAAATCCAGAGAATAACTAGAGTCCACAATGGACATAATAGCAATACTCGGGAGCTGGAGGGTCATTGTTTACTGTGTAGTGGGTCTGAGGCCAGTCTAGGCTAAGACCCTGTCTAAAAAAAAAAAAACCAAAGCAAGTGAACAACCTGTCTGCACCAGAGTACCTCATGTTTCCCTGCTGATCCCTCTTTGAACAGATGAAGAAATTGAGAACAAGTGGCCTCCTCAGGGAGCCAGTGGACAGGAAAGCTTGGGCGGGGGTCCTGAGTTCAATTCCCAGCAACCATATGGTGGCTCACAACCATCTGTAATGCGATCTGGTGCTCTCTTCTGGCATGCAGACAGAACACTGCATACATAATAAACTCCATAGCTACACAAGAAACTCTGTCTCGAAAAACTAAAAAAAAAAATTAATTAAAAAATAAATAATTGTATTCCAGAACTGGGGTATGAATGAAAAGCTACATAGAGAAACCCTGTCTCAAAAAACCAAAAAAAAAAAAAAAAAAAAAAAAAAAAAAGGGAAAGGACATGACTGCTCCTAGGTATGGTAGAGGAGAAAATTTATTGTAGATAAACGAGAGAGCGTAGGTAGAAGCAGACATCTGGGAGAGTCCAGAGTGGACATGACCAGACTGAGCTGGGCCATGTGCGGAAAGGAGGAAGGGAAGGGAGATGGCAGAGACGGGAACCAGGCTCAGCAGCAGCCTGGAGGCCAAAGGTACAAAAAGAGAGGGTAACAAAATGTCTGGGTAATTGTTCTCTATATAGGGAAGAGCCCCTTGGGGAAGGGCAGCCCAGCCCCTGGGTTGGAGAGTTCAGGAGAGAACCCGGTATGCCATCCATACCCTTTAACAGATAGGGACTGAGGGATGCTGGGAGAACCTGGCGGGCAGGTCTGTTTCGATATGTTAAATGGGCACCTCAGCCATTTGTCCCTGGTTTGAAACTTAACAGGGTATAACTGAGTCGGCTGAGTGGTCGCCTGGCATCCTAACCGCTGAGCCATCTCTCCAGTCCCCCGTTGCCTGGCATCCTAACCGCTGAGCCATCTCTCCAGTCCCACCCCGCTGCCTGGTATCCTAACCGCTGAGCCATCTCTCCAGCAGGGCCCCCCCCCCCCCCCCCCCCCCCCCCCCCCGCCTGCTATCTATCTAACAGCTTCTGGTTCCAAGAGTACCACACACCAAAACCAACCCAAAACAAAACACCCGCCGGGTAGGAGGGAACCTAACTGACTCCCTCAAGCTGTCTTCTACTCCAGTCACGAGCCCTCCCCACCCACATAGACCAGGTAAGTTTAATTTTATTTTCTTTCTTTTTTTCGAGACAGAGTCTGTGTAAACCTGGCTGTCCTGGGACTCGCTTTGTAGATCAGGTTGGCCTCAAACTCACAGAAATCCACCTGCCTCTGCCTCTGGTGAGCTGGCATTAAAGGCGTGAGTCATGCCCTGCCAAATGTAATTTAAAAAATAATAAACCGGAAAACAAAACAAAACAAAAAATAACACATACAAAGACGGCACGGTAGCGTACGAGCGTACGCCTTTAATTCCGGCACTCAGCAGGCGGAATCTGAGGATCTAGGCTACAAAAGACCCTGTCTCCAAATAAAAGACAAAAATGTGCCGGGCGGTGGTGGCGCACGCCTTTAATCCCAGCACTCGGGAGGCAGAGCCAGGCGGATCTCTGTGAGTTCGAGGCCAGCCTGGACTACCAAGTGAGTTCCAGGAAAGGCGCAAAGCTACACAGAGAAACCCTGTCTCGAAAAACCTAAAAAAAAAAAAAAAAAAAAAAAAAAAGACAAAAATGTAAGCACGTAAGCCTGTGTTTAAGACCTCTTCCCTCCTTCAACAAACAGCATTCAGCATATATATATATAAAAGCACAACAGCGAGCAAGTGCGACCTATCACTTCAGCTTAAAGTGCAACGGAACGGGCGGGACCTCCAGTCTGCCCAAGGTCAAGGGACTTGAAGCAGGGTCCACAGGGGTCTGCAGGATCTTTCCCCATAGTGCCGTTGTTGTGCCAGCCTTCAGGATCTCTCCCTGCTAGAGTCCCTTCCCGGAAACCGGAAGGGACGTAAAGAAGGCGGGGCAGCGTTTTAGAAACCGGACCGTGAAGCTTTGCGCTTCCTCTTTCCAGCCAGCGCCGAGCGATGGGTGAGTGTTGCTGTGGGCCGGGTCGGGCTGCGGGGAGCGAGCTCCATCCGTCTCCATCCCGCCTCGCAGCCCTGCCAGGAGCACGTTCGGCCCGAGCCCGGGCCCCGAGCACCCGTGGGGAGGGCCGACCGTGGGCTTGGGCCGCCGAGATCGCTGCGGCCGCTTCCCGGGCTCCGGGCTGCGAGCGGTCCATCATGGCTGCCGCGGGCCGCACGCGGATGATGACACCTAGGTATGCTGCACACTCCCGACTGCGCCGTGGGGAGGCCAACCTTGGAGAGCTGAGTGTGCGGTCCGCGCCGCGCGTTGCCCGGGGATGGCTAGGTCGCCGGTACCCAGGCCCGGCTGCTCAGGCTTGCGTCCCCGCTCCCACACACAGGCATCTCTCGAGACAACTGGCACAAGCGCCGCAAGACCGGGGGTAAGAGGAAGCCCTACCACAAGAAGCGGAAGTATGAGCTGGGACGGCCTGCTGCCAACACGAAGGTGAGTGCGCGTGTCGCGGTGGGGGTTGGGGGGGGTACGCCTAACCCGCGCTAGAGCACGGATGCCGTGACCGTGGGCCCTTGTAGGCTCTGAGGTCTCTGTTTTGGAGACTGGGCATCTTGCCCATACCCACGTGCTGGGTAAAAGTCTTGAAGACAACAGGGTCTGTGTGCCCGGGTCGCCGAACTTACGGTGCATTGGGAGACATGCTGGGGACCAGGACTTGAACGAAGCCTAGGAATGGGCTCCTTGGGCGTTGGGGTACTTGGAATTCTGTGTTTGAGGGGTGTGACTCTTCTTTTTGGAGGTAACTAGAGTGATGAAACAGTATCCTTAGGCGTGGTTATGGCCGTCTTGGTCACCTGTATGCCACTTGCCAATGAAAGGACTTGTCATAGTTACACTGACTGTTACCTCCCTCTAGTCCGGGTTCCTCTCCTGGTCTCCCCTCTTTTCTTGAGACCATGTTCTGGTTTTCTCGTGTTTTCCAGATTGGCCCTCGTCGTATACACACAGTCCGAGTCCGAGGAGGCAATAAGAAGTACCGTGCCCTAAGATTGGATGTGGGGAACTTTTCCTGGGGCTCTGAGTGTAAGTAGTCCTTTGGGGGTATCAAAGTATTTGCCTGTTGCTGAGAGACCTTGAGGTAGCTGGAGAATTCTTTTTGAGCTAATTGGCTGACTCCTGCAGCTTGGGGTGGGCGGTGGTGGCACACACCTTTATTCCCAGCCCCCGGGAGGCAGAGGCAGGCAGATCTCTTGAGTTCAAGGACAGCCTGGTCTACAGAACTAGTTCCAGGACAGGTAGGGCTGTTACACAGAGAAACCCTGTCTCAAAAAACAAACGCTTTCTGAATTAAAACATGATTGCGGGGGAAGAGCTTAGGCACAGAGGCTGGATATTCTTTTCTGTCCTTTCTGGGATTGAGGGAGGTAACGCAGGTGGTTGCCGTATGTGCGTGAGGTAGGAGAGAGAGACTGTGTGTGTGTGTGTGTGTGTGTGTATATGTACGTACGTGTGTGTGTGTGTGTACGTGTGTGTGTGTACACATGTGTGCGCTGGAGCCCGGGACACATCCAAGTACCCTTCTCCTGAGCTACCTCCCAGGCCCCTTAATTGTGAATTTTCCTTGTGTGCAGGTTGTACCCGGAAAACAAGGATCATTGATGTTGTCTACAATGCATCCAATAACGAGCTGGTCCGCACCAAGACCCTGGTGAAGAACTGCATTGTGCTTATCGACAGCACACCATACCGACAGTGGTATGAGTCTCACTATGCACTGCCCCTGGGCCGCAAGAAGGGGGCCAAGCTGGTGAGTGTTATTTTCCTGTAGGGGGAGGAGGGGGGGAGTGCTGCCTTCTTGTGATGAAAATACTGTCCAGTTCTGCTACTGAAGGAAAGAGATGAATACCTGAGTTCTGAAGAAGGCAAGCATCAGGAAATTGGGGCTCGAGAAGGCTTGGTGACTTTGCTCATGACAGATCCGTGTGTATTTTCTTTACTCAGACTCCTGAAGAGGAAGAAATATTAAACAAAAAACGATCAAAGAAAATCCAAAAGAAATATGATGAAAGGAAAAAGAACGCTAAAATCAGCAGTCTTCTGGAGGAGCAGTTCCAGCAGGGCAAGCTTCTTGGTGAGATTGTTGTGGTGTTGGGAAGCAGGAGTTGGTGGTGTGCGGTTTCACCCTTGCCTGGTTCATTGGGCTGTCAGAGGTTTGAACGCTGGGCGCACAAAGCATGAGCGGGGATAGTTGTTTGCTGTAAGGGTGAAGAGTGAAATCATTAACAGAACAGGCTCTGAGTGGTAGTTGGGAAGTGGATGCCCTGGCTGATGGCTGTCTCGGTGATGAGAACTTTGTCCAGTTCTGCTGCTGACTTCTAAGTGAGGATAAAGTGTGTCTGAGGAGACTGCTGGCTTCATGCCTGCCTTTGGGTATCAGACCAACTTGGACTTCTAAGGGGGCGGGTAGGTGAGTGGGGCCTCATGTCCTTTTACTAAGGACCACCTATTCTCTTACAGCCTGTATTGCCTCAAGACCAGGCCAGTGTGGCAGAGCAGATGGCTACGTGCTAGAAGGCAAGGAGCTGGAGTTCTATCTGAGGAAGATCAAAGCCCGGAAAGGCAAATAAAACATCATTCATAGCTCATGTAATAAAGGTGTTTATTGTTCTGTATTTATATTGTCGGAATGTTTGGCTAGTCATTTTTCCCTGCTCCTCTGAGCAAAGCTGAAGAAAAGATCTCATCTTACTGTCTACCTGTGCGAGCATGCTGTCAGAGGCCCCATGGCTAGAGCAGTATCTAGAGTAATGCCAGTATTCCTGGGTCTGGGGGAACCTGGAGCAAGTTGGTATGGAAGAGACTTGGGAGCTCTTCAGTACTGGGTTCTCTTACAATAATGGGGTGCTATCGAAATCATGCTTGTATTGTCAGGCTAGAGGTCTCCCTTTCCTTTGTAGACTTGGGTTTTAAGGGTTCCATTAAATTTGTGTATGTGTGCTAGGCATTAGCCTTCATGATTATTAAGCACATGGCTGTACCACAGGCTGTACTTCCACCCAGGTAAGGTGGTTCATGGGAAGTATGGGAACTTGGACAGTGTATTGAGGCTCTTAACATACAAGTTACAAGAGAAGATGTCTTCACTACAGGTTAATAGTTTGGGGGATTTTTGAGGCACTCTCACTCTGTAGCCCAGGCTGTCCTGGAGCTTCTAGCCCAGGCGGATTGCAGCTCACAGATCCATCTTCATTTGCTTCCTGGGTGTGGATTAAAAGTGTGCAACACCAGGCCTGGCTAAGGTTAATGTTTTGGGGTTTCCCAGAGAAGTCTAGAGAAAAAAGTGAGAACCTACCCAGAGTTATATCCCTTAACCCTAGGTGGCTGCCTGTCTGGTGCTGAGATTGTCTGCCTGGCTTTTTTTTTTTTTTTTTTTTTTTTTGGTTTTTCGAGACAGGGTTTCTCTGTGTAGCTTTGCGCCTCTCCTGGAACTCACTTGGTAGCCCAGGCTGGCCTTATGCCTGGCTTTTTTTAAGGATTGATTATGTGTACAGTGTTCTGCCTGCATGTATCCCTGCAGGCTAGAGGAGGGCACCAGATCTCATTATGGGATGGTTGTGAGCCACCATGTGCTTGGTGGGAATTGAATCTCTAGAAGAGCAGCCAGTGCTCTTCACTGCTGAGCCATTCACCCCTCTGGGCCTGGCTTTTAAATGGATGCTTGGGGATCCAGACTTAAGTCTTCTTGCTTGTAAAGCAAACATTTTGTCTGACCCCAAAGATCAAGGTTTTTTGGTGTGGTTTGTTTTTCCAAGACAGGGTTTCTCTGTGTAACAGCTCTGGCTGTCCTGGAACTCTCTGTAGACCAGGATGGCCTAGAAGTGCTGGGATACACCGACCCGCATGAGCTCAAGTTTTTGTTTTGAGGGGTGAAGTTCTAAAACAAGGTCTCTTTGGTCCTGGCTCTCCTGGAACTCAGATCACCAGCCTGTGCCTCCTGAGTTCTGAGATTAAAGGTATGTGCTGCCACCCCCAGCAAATTTGGGAGTACCCTGTAGCCATTTTGGTGGGGAGCATTAGAGCAGGTGGGTACACTGTAGCAGTAGCTGGATTTTCATCTATCTGAAATGAGAAAGCTCACTGGGAATGGTATGGGTTTTTAAAATGTCAAAGCTTGTTTTTGAGATGAGGGCTTACTATGTATGTATACCTGTCTCATCAAAACCTCCTTATGTAGACTATTGTTGGCTTTTTTTTTTTTTAATTACTGTTTTTTGGGGGGGGAGCCAACACCTAGCTCCCAGAAAAAAATCCCACATGGAAGCTGCTTTTTTTTTTGGGTTTTTCAAGACAGGGTTTCTCTGTGTAGCTTTGCGCCTGTCCTGGAACTCACTTGGTAGCCCAGGCTGGCCTCGAACTCAGAGATCCGCCTGGCTCTGCCTCCCGAGTGCTGGGATTAAAGGCGTGCGCCACCACCGCCCAGCAGAAGCTTCTTAATTATAAATGCCCAGACTTAGATAGTGGCACACGCCTTTTTTTTTCCCCCTTCCCTCTGTGTGGCACACACCTTTAATCCCAGCACTTGGGAGGGAAAGGCCAGCCTGGTCTACAGAGCAAGATCCAGGACAGGCACCAAAACTGCACAGAGAAACCCTGTCTCAAAACAACAACAAAAAACAAGTTGGAATATTATTTTAAGGTGTGTTAAAGAACTGGCCAATAGCAAGGCAAGAGAGGATAGGTGGGGCTGGCAGGCAGAGAATATATAGAGGAGAAATCTAAGGAGGAAAGATGGAAGTGGGGGCTGGAGAGATGGCTCAGAGGTTAAGAGCACTGGCTACTCATCCAGAGGTCCTGAGTTCAATTCCCAGCAACCACATGGTCGCTCACAACCATCTATGAGATTTGGTGCCCTCTTCTGGCCTGCAGGCAGAGCACTACACAATTTAATAAATTTTTTAAAAAGATGGAAGAATAAAGTGAAGAAAGGAAGGAGCCAGAGAAGGAGGAGGACTCCAGGAGCCAGTTACACAGCAAGCCACGGAGTAAGAAACAAAGGTACACAGGAATAGAAAAGCCCAGAGGCAAAAGGTAAACAGGATAAGTTAAGTAAAACTGGCTAGAAACTAAGCTAACGCTGGTCATTCATAATTAAGAATAAGCCTCCATATGTAAATTTATGTGGGAGCTGGGTAGTGAGCCCCCCAAAAAAGGTTAAAAAAAAAAACAAATGCCCAACCCAGCCTTGGCTTGTTTCTTGTCAGCTTTTCTTAACTTTAAATTATCCCATCTTTTTTGCCTCTGGGCTTTTTCTTTTCCTTCTGTATATCTTTTTTTTTTTTTTTTTTTTAAGATTGATTTATTATGTATACAGCATGTATGACAGGCCAGAAGAGGGCACCAGATCTCATTACAGATGGTTGTGAGCCACCATGTGGATGCTGGGAATTGAACACGGGTCCTCTGGAAGAGCAGCCGGGTGCTCTTAACCACTAAGCCATCTCTCCAGTCCCCCCTTACTTTCATTCTTAACTTCTGTGGGTAGCTGGTCCCTAGCATCCTCCTTGTTTTCTTGCTCTTTTCTTCCAGATTTCCCCTTCTCTGCCTGCCAGCTCTGCCTACTCTCTCCTGCCTCGCTATTGGCTGATCATCAGCTCTTTATTAGACCAATCATGTGTTTTAGACAGGCACAGTAACAGCTTCACAGAGTTAAACAAATGCAACATTAAAGAATGCAGCAGCCAGGCGGCGGTGGTGCAGGCCTTTAATCCCAGCATTCTCTGAGTTCGAGGCCAGCCTGGTCTACAGAGTGAGATCCAGGACAGGCACCAAAACTATACAGAGAAACCGTGTCGGGGGTGGGGGATGCAGCACATCTTTGCATCATTAAACAAATGTAACACATTAAAAGTAATATTCTACAACAGTAGACCAGGCTAGGCTTGAACTGATAGGGGTCTGTTTGCCTTTACTTCTTGTGTTGGGCTTAAAGGTGTGTGCCATAATGGCCTGACCCAATGAGGGTTTTTTTTTTCTCCCCTGCATATGAGTGGTTTGTTTGCATCCATATACGTGTACCGTGTGCTTGTCTGGTGCCCAAGAAGGTCAGAAAAGGGCGTTGGATCCGTTGAAACTGCAATGGGTGCTCTTAACTCTGCGCCATCTCTCCAGCTCCTCTAATGAGTTGTTTTTGTATTTTGAGACAAGGTTTCTCTGAGTAGCCCTGGCTGTCCTTGAACTCGCTCTAGACCAGACTGGCTTTGAACTCAGAGCTGCTTGATCTCAATTGAACTTCCTACCTGTATCTGGCGAGCACAGGGTTTTTATGATGTGCACTGCCCTTAGAAGTTAGACCCTGACAGCCTGGTCTACAGAGCTGCAGGAGAGCCAAAAGTACAGAGGTTAGAAAGGATTGTGAGCTGCCATGTGGTGCTAGGGATCCAAGTCCTCAGCAAGAGCAGCAAGCGCTCTTAACTGCTGAGCCATCCCTAGAATTTTTTCTAGTCCCTAGAATTTTTTGTGTGGGAGTGGGGTTGGACATCAGAGGACAAATTTCAGGACCTGGTTCTCCAGCTGGGTGTGAGTCCCAATGATCAAACCTTGGTGGTCAGGCTCGGCCATAAGCGCCTTTGTGAACTAAACCACTGCTCCCCCTCGTTTTTATTTTATGTGCATGTGTGTGTACTGGTGTCCTGTGGAACGTCCATGGGCATACACTTCATTTAATGTTCTTGAGACAGGATCTCTACACAGCCCTAGCAGTGCTGGAACTCACCATGTAGACCAGATTGGTCTTGAACGCAGACATTCCCCTGTCTCTGCCTTCTGATGTATACACTTCAAATAAAGGCTTTTGTTTTTAATTGCCATTGAGATGACTCTGCAGGCCCGATGACCAGAGTTCAGTCCCTGGAACCCATAGGGTGGAAGGACAGACTGCTTCCAAACACACACTTGGGAGAATTCCCACTGGGCTCCACCTGCTCTGGCTCCAGTGTTAGCACCTAGCCTTAATCCACCCTTCCTGTCTCTGTTACCTTTTGTTTCTCTTGTTGCCCTCTGTGAATCTTGTCTGAGAGTCTCCCAAGGGTACAAAGCCTATGCAGACTTAGTTGGGAACCGGAAAACTGATATTCCTTAATTGAGAATTTTCATTTGGCATTGTCCTTTCGGTGGCTTAGTTAGGGTGTTTAGGGGATATGGAAATCAACTTGATAAAAGTGTAAATTGGACAATAAAAATGCCCTTGGCAGGGCTGGGGATTTAGCTCAGTGGTAGAGCACTTGCCTAGCAAGCACAAGGCCCTGGGTTCTGTCCTCAGCTCCAGGAAAAAAAAAAAAAAGAGAGACTGAGAATATAGCCGGGCGGTGGTGGTGGTGGAGGTGGAGTGGTGGTGGTGGTGGTGGTGGTGGAGGTGGTGGTGGTGGTGGTGGTGGTGCACACCTTTAATCCCAGCACTGGGAGGCAGAGCCAGGCAGATTTCTGTGAGTTCGAGGTCAGCCTGGTCTACAGAGCGAGATCCAGGAAAGGCGCAAAGCTACACAGAGAAACCCAGTCTCGAAAAACCAAAAAAAAAAAAAAAAAATGTCCTTGGCTAAGGGAGAGTGTCTCAGGCTGCGAGAGGCTGAGTCCCCCTGCAGCTGGAAAGGCTAAGACATCCTTAAAATGTGCTGTGTCGTCTTCCCACAGACCCGTGTGAATCCACACCCATTCAACACACTGATAAATGTAATACAGTTTTCATTTTAAAAATTGGAGGGTTGGAGAAATGTCTCAGTGGCTCTTCAGGTGAGCACTCAGGTTCATTTCCCAGTATCCACATGGCAGCTCCCAAAGCTCACTTTTGAGGTTCCGGGAGTTAAGACATAGTGACTCTCTAGGGGCACTGTACATGGTACACTCACGTATGCAGACAAACATTCATCCACATAAAATAGTCTTGGAATTTAGGACAGAGGTAGGACTAGGTCCCATTGGCACAAGCCACTTGGAAAGCTGGGTGGGAGAATCACCTAGTTCAAGGCCAGCTTGGGTGATTTAGTGAGGTCCTGTCTACACTCGAGTGTTTCCATCCTTAGCTTTCTTCCTTGGTTCTGGCATTAGCTGTCCTTTCACAAAAGCAAGTCAGAAGATCTTGCTTCTACAACTCTGGTCTTGGTTAAGTGCCCTTAGTGCTGGGCCACCAGGGCAACTTTCCAATCCTAATTCCACCTACACCCTAGGCAAATGCCAAATTAAACAGTCGTGATTCACGGTGAACAAATGCACATATTCTCATTACAAACAACGCGAGCATTTTGCAGACAAAGGTCCCACACCACGCCCGCTGACCTGCCTTCAGAGTGAGGTTACTGGGCTAGGGAGTGTGTGTCCTTTTACTTTTTCTCACTTGATTCTAAAACAGCTGTCCCAGACCAGCAGCACAGCATCGACCCAAAACTAGAAATGCCACTTCCTGTGCTCAACCAAATGCGGCACCTAGAGGCTGGGGCTGGGCACCAGGCAAGACTTCAGGGATGCTGATGCTCCCCTACTGTTTTGGACCGTTGGCCTAGCTCCCCGACGTCTGAAAAGGTAGCCTTGCCTCTGTGTGCCAGCCCTATATATTTGACCTTTTCTTCATTCTAGCTTCGCCTCCCCAAGCAATCTATCCCACTTCACTCTAAAGGAGATATACCCTACCCCCGGCTCTCCTCGTCATCTTTGCTTTCAAGAGCTGTCCCCAAATGCTTTCCCCAATGGCCAACCCGCTGTCCAGAGAAGTTGCTCTGAGCAGCGGCTGATAGGACCAAGCGCAGCTCGGGAAGAAGGCAGGGTGGCAGCCACCGGCAGAGGGGATTCTCAAGGTTCCAGGGCTTCATCGCCAGATTCCTCAGCCTCATCTATACGGCTGGCAGCCTCCTCACCGCCCAACTCGGTCCGGAAGCGGAGCAGGTGTGGGGTCCTGGGGGCGCCGCGTGCTCGCCCGAAGTTCCGTAGGCTTATAGCAGGCGAGAGCGCTCCTGAGCCCAGGAAGCGGCCCAGCAGCGGGGTCTGGGTGGCGGTTGCTGGCAGGTCGGACCTTGGGGATGCCTCCACCTGCATGCACTGCTCAGGGTCATCACTCATGCTGCCGGTGCCAGGGTGGACATAGACAAGGATTGACTCTCAGAGGACTTGTTTGTATCCCCATAGGGTGGCCAGGGACTGGGCCCGGTTTCCATGTCAAATCTCGACTTACCGCAGGTTGAAAGTGGAACCCAAGAAGGAAGGACGCAGTGACTCAGCAGCTGTGGCCACCGTATAGGGTGGTTGAGGTTGGGCCTCATCCCAGTACTGATCCTTCTCAGCAGGAGGCAGGTTCTGGTACATATCATCCACAGAGAGCAGGGACACCTGAGCCAGAAGAAGGGCAAGCAGTAGGTCACAACTGTTTCTCTGCACACCTGGCTATCTCTGCCCCTTACCCCACACCTAACCTGCAGGTTTCGATCTATGAGCTGATTGGTCTCAAAGTCGTCATCGTCTTCACCAAAGGGGTTAATGAGCTGTTCAGCTACCTACGAATTACAGAAATGGTGTCTTCTAGGTGCAGAGCCCCCTCCCCCCGACTGCCCAGCACTGCAGTGTGATAGTTATTATCTGTGCCCACCTCTACAGAGTAGGATGCCATACCGACCTTGAGCCAACCAGCGTAAAAGAAAAACTGCAGCAACGTGGTAAGAGGCACAAACATGTCCAGGTCCCCCGGGGCTGGAGAGACCTCTTTGGCTCGCTCCAGAGGCTCCTGAAGTTTGGCAGCCCCTGTTTCCGGCTCCACAAACTGTCGGCCGACCAGGGAAAGGGCGAAGAAGGAGTATACGGCTATCGTCACCACCTGAAGAGGGAAAAGCGAGGGGCAGAGGGGCAGCAAGAAACCCAATCCCTGCCTGTGAGGGCCTGCAAGGTCTGCCAAGTCAGCAAGCAGGGACTGGGTGCCGTTGCAATGGAGACAGGTTCATCTTTTTGTCTTGTTATGTAGACCAGGCTGTCCTCGAACTCACAGAGATCCTTCTGCCTCAGTCTCCCGAGTGCTGGGATTAAAGGCGTGGGCCACCACTGCCTGGATCAAGACGGAGTTCTCTTTACAGGTGTGGAGGAAGATTTTTGAGGATGAGGGACAGGGTATTACTGATGGGAGTAAGGTTTTTGAGGATGACCCTCACAGTTCAATGTCTCCTGAGACTGCCTTGGCCCGGGTGAAGAGCCATCAAGGCCCCTCGGTATCTCACACACCACAGGATGTCCGATAGGCACCTGAGCTGGGCAGGCAGGAAACAGTTACCTGGGTGTAGACAAGGGGGATGCTGATCCAGTCATAGTGAAACAGCATGCTGCACTTGGCGCGGTACTTGTTCAGCTCCTAGAGAGAGCAGGTGATGGGAGGTCAGAGGAGACAAAGAAGGAGATGAGGAGGGGAGCGGGAGACCCCACAAAGGTGACCAGGGCCGGGCCTGAGCCCCACTGCTCTCAGGCTCTCAGGCTGGGGTGCTTAGGGTAGGAAGCAATTTAGGAAGGGAGCAAACAACGTTCTGGGCCTGGAGCCAGAAGGCCTATGAATCCCAGCTTCACGAACATGCTGTGTGAGGGGCTTTTCAACTCTGTGCCTCAGTTTCTTTATCTGTGAAAGGGGGATGAGAAGAGCCCTCAGGCACTAAGGGAGTCAACCTAAGCACGTGCTTCCAAAGTGCTCAGTAGCTGGGCCTAGTGGTTCACGCCTGTAATTCCCAAGTTTGTGAGACGATGGCAGGATTGCCATGGATTTGAGGACGGCCTGGGCTAAACAGTGAGTTCCAGGCAAGCTTGAGCTATGGAGAGTAATCTTGTATCCCCCTCCCCCCCCAAAAAAGTGTGTGGTATATAGTTGGAGCCTTTTAAGGGTCAAGTACCAAAATTATTATTTTGAAGCTAGTGCGCGCAGAACCAGTGATCCAAATCCTAAACTGACTTACTTCCAGTATGAGAGCGAGAGCGATGTCGTCACGGATTCGTCCATCCCTGCGGGCCTGGGCGGCGAGGTTAGTGAACCAGACGCAAGGGACCCAGTACTTGTTAAAATCAGATTTCAAGCTCTCAAACTTTCTCCTCTCTTCCTGAGACATGAAACCTGCCCGGGTGAAGAAGGTAAGGTGCAGACATCTCATGCCGCCAGGGGCGCTAGTGGTCCAGCATCTGGCTGTTCTCCCTTAAACCCTCTGGCTTCCCTGGAATCCTGGAGCGCCCCCTAAGGGTCAGACCTTTCCATCACGGGAAGAAAGCCAAGACATCCAGCCACCCCACCCAGGGGCTGCGACTACCCAGGCACCTGCATCCACCACGTGCTCCATAGTGGGGAAGCGCTTGAGCACACGGGTGCTGACAGATCGCAGCACCAGCACCGACGCCAGGTTGGCATAGCGGATGAGAGTTCGGCGTAGTAAACGGCCGCTCTGGTCCACGCCATGCACACAGGCTGAGATGACACACATTAACTGGTCCGGCAGTGGAATGCTCGTGTACTGAGACCACCATCGGTTCACCACCAAAGTCACGTAGAAACCTAGTGAGCCACCATGGATAACAGAGGCAGAAAGAAAGGTGCCAGGTGCTAGGGAGGTCCTCCATTGGACTCTATGGCCCTTCTGGTCCCACGGCCTTGCTGAGAAAGTCAGGCCCGGAAGAAGAAGAGAATGCAAACTGCCAGGGGAGAGGGAAGTGGGAGTCCGAGGTGGGGTTACTGCTGACTCTGAGACCTTTTTTCCATGAGGGTAGGGAGGGGCTATCCCTTCTCTCTGGCTCCCTTTTGGTAACCAGAGTGGCGTTATAAGGCCAGGTGGTGTCTTTGTGCCAGTGAAGATTGAGGGTCCCCCAAATGACGGGCAAGGAGTAACCCAGAGGAAACTGTGGACCCAGGCTCTAACCCTTCTTTCTGTTTGCTGGTTAACTCCAGGCCATTGCTGCCAAGAATTGCCACCTCAACCCAAAGATCAGAGAACATGGTCAGGAGAAGGGGCAGGGGGTGGGAGGGTGAGGGTGGGCTCACCCAGCACGAAGGACAAAGGGATGAGGTCTGCTGAACGGTTGCAGTATCGGGCCACCTGGGCATAAATATGCTTCTGCTCCTGGGTCAGCCACAGCCTAGGGCATGTCAGGCAGAGACCTGGGTTGGTAGGAGGCCAGCGGCGGCACAGGTCCTCATAGGCCGGGGCTCAGAGCTGCTCTCACCGGTAGGTGACGCTGAGCACAGCATACAAGGCACCGAACAGCAGAAACTCCTTGTACAGGAGCTTGTAGATGCTGCCCCTCCAGCGGAGGAGCAGGCCAGAGAAGGCTCCGAAGCGCGCCTCTGCCACTTTGAGAGTGTAAGACACCGTCATGGTGCTGGGTCCTGGCGCAGAAGGTCACAGAACTGTCCTCTTCTCTGCTGGTCTTCCCGTCGCTAAGCCTAGCACCCCAAGCAAAGTCCCTTCATCTCTGGCTACTCATCTTCACCGCGTCTGTAGACAAGGACAGACAAGTACAAACCGTCCTCTGCAGAACATGGTTGAAGCCGGGATGGAGTTGGGCAAAGTGGGGCTGAGTTCTGTGCCCCTCACACGGAGCTTTCCCACAACCTTTCTACCTTTGGAGCTGAGATAACTAGATTCTGAAGTGTTGAGGACAAGAGCCCCAATTTGCTAGGTATGATGGCAAATATATATATATATATATATATATATATATATATATATATATATATATATATATATATATACATACAATCCTAGCTCTCAGGAAGTCACCAGTTCAAGGCCAGCCCATGCTATATAGCAAGGCCTTGTCTCAAAACAAAGAAAGAGGCTGGAGAGATGACTCAGTGATTGGGAGCACTAGCTACTCTTCCAGGTACTTGGGTTCAATTCTCAGCACCCACATGGCAGCTAAGAACTGTCTGTAACTTCAAGATCTGATACCTTCACACAGATCTACATGCAGGCAAAACACCACAACATTAAATGAACAAAGAAAGAAAGCCAGACCGAACCCCGAATCAGAGCCACCGCCCTTCCTTGGTGCTTCCCCTTGAAACCCGGTCACCTCGTGTCCCAGGCCCGGGACCCTCAACCTCCACTCATACCTGCCTACCTGTTCTCAGCAGCAGCCTGGGGGAACTGGACCAGACGTTGTTCTTCACAGTCTTAAGTAGATGCTGGGTCCATAACGTTAGGCTGGACTGGTGCTGTCATTGATGGATGGAGGCTATCTATCATCATCTGGCCGCTCCTGGGAACTAGGTGTGTGCTACTAGCCCCATGGGCCCGGACTGGTCTTTGAGTAGCAAAAGTGCCATGTTTCCTGACCCCACAACTCACGCAGGTGACACCAATGTCCTTTAAATTAGGGAACATAGGGATTACTTCCCTATGCTCCCGGAGAGGTGACAGTTCAGGGTGAACTGTGGTCATACCAGCTGCTGATGGCAGAGCACTGACTGACTTAAGGGACAGACAGACAGACACTGCCAAGGACACCATTTTATCTTCCTCTAACGGAATCTTTACCAGAATCTTTACCACATCTCCATCATGTAGGAATCCATTCCATTTTCACAGATTAGGTTCCAAGAAGCAAATGACTTGCTCAAGGTCACACAACCAGGTCCTGTTGGAGGCAGGACTCAAAGCCACAGCTTCTAGGCTTGAAAGGCTGGAAGTTGTCTGATTGAGCCTAGAGCAGGACTTGAGTACTGAGATCAGGGTCCTTGACACCAGTGGCCTCAACACAGTGCCAGGCCCTGTCCCAGGCTCTGATAGGCACTTCCTACATCCATGCCATAGGGTTAAAGAGGGCATGGGTCTAGGAACTCAGCACGATGCACATCCCCTTAAGTTCTGTGTCCAACGTCTTGACTCCTAGGTGCTCTCAGCAACTCTCTCTCTCTCTTTTTCTCTCTCTTTTGGTTTTTCAAGACAGAGTTTCTCTGTATACTCTGTAACTCATCCTGTGGACCAGGCTGGCTTTGAACTCAGAGATCTGCCGGCCTCTGCTTCCCCAGTGCTGGGATTAAAGGTGTGTGTCACCACCACCTGGCAACTCATTCTCTCTTAAACGTTTGTTTTATTTTACGTGTGTGCGTGTGTGTGTGGGTGTGTGTGTGTGTGTGTGTGTGTGTGTGTGTGTGTAGGTGAATGTGTGTATGTTCACTATGTGTGTGCATGGGCTCACAGAGGTCAGAAGATGGTGTTAGAGCCCCTGGAGCTGAGGTTACTGGTTGTTGTTTGCTGTCTGATGTGGGTGCTGAGAACTGAACCCAGGTCCTCTGGAAGAGCAATATAATCTGTGCATGCTCTTAACTGCTGAGCCATTTCTCCAGCTCCAAAATATAGCATTTTAAAAAATTCTTTGAGAATTTCATACAGTGTATTTTGATCATATTCACCCCTCCTCCCCAACTACTAAATCTACTCCCAACTCCCTACTCTCTAATTCCGTCTCTCTGTCTCTCTGTCTCTGTCTGTCTGTCTGTCTCTCTCTCTCTCATAACCCATCAAGTCCAATTGTACTGCCCATGTACTCCTGAGTATAGGGAGGTCTACTGGAGTCTGCTCAACCTACAAGAGGCCACACCCTTAACAAATCTACAAATCATTCTCCCCTGGAAGCCGGGACTGTCCATGGCTCCTCAGTTAGAGGTGGGGCTTGTGAACTTCCTCCTCCATTGCTAGAATGTTGCCTGGCTCGATCCCGTGCCAGTCTCATTCAGGTACCCACAGGTCCTGGGAGCTCCTGAGCACATGGGTCCTTTCATTTCCACCCACATGTTCTCTCAAGTGCTTCTCAACTCTGGTTTTTACTGTTTTTCCTCCATCTCCTGTCGTGGTCCCTGAGCCTTGGGGCAGGGGGATAGTTATAGTTTTAATTTGTTTATTTGGTTGTTTGTCATGATCTGAGTGTGGCCATCAGAGGGACAGCTTGTGGGAATCAGTTCTCTCCTCCTTCTACAACACGGGTTTGAACTCACATCATCGGGCTTGGCAGCAAGCACCTTTACTTGCTGAACCCTCTAGCCAGACCTTTCCAGCCTTTTTGTTTGATTGTTTAGTGTTGCTTTTTAAAAAAGTAATGATTATTTTGTGAATTTTTTTTTGTGACTTTCTTTGTTTTGAGACAAGGACTCTCTACATAGCTCTGGCTGTCCTGGAACTCACTATGAGATCAGGCTGGTCTCAAACTCACAAGAGATCTGCTTGCCTCTGCCTCTGCAGTACTGGGGTTAAGGGCGTGCAGCACTATGCCGGGCTTATTTTTGCTTTTTTGAGACAGGATGCCAGCATGTAGCCCAGGCAGACCTGGAGCCTATTCTCCTGCCTCAGCTTCCCAGTTGTTGGGATTACAAATACTGACCACCAGGGCTGTCATCTCTTCATTTGTTTGTCAGATAAAAGCCAAGGCAGTGATCAAGTCAGAACTAGAACCTCAGAGCGGGGAGAGGTCTAGGCGGCTCCTTTCACTGTAGTAAGAAGCCTCCACTTAACCCCAGGAGGGACAGCCTGCCTCTCAACCCCACTGTGAGCGGGTTCTCACCAGCAAGTGCCTCCCAGAAAGAAGAGCTAAGAATGCAAGAGTCTGAGCTACATGAGACCCTGTCTCCAACCAAACTTCCCTTAAACAAAACAAAAACGACAAAACAATGAAGATAAAGGGTGGTGGACATCTAGACCCTTTCCAATGGGGTCAAAGCAGACCCATCTTGCAGTTGCTTACCAGCAAAGGGCAGTCTCTGCTGCACAGGAGGGAATCTTTTTTGCTTTTTGGTTTTTTCAAGACAGGGTTTCTCTGTGTAGCCCTGGCTGTCCTGGATCTCACTCTGTAGCCCAGACTGTCGTCGAACTCACAGATAATCTGCCTGCCTCTGCCTCCCTTGTGCTGGGATTAAAGCATGCGCCACCACTGCCCAGCAGGAGGAATTCTCTCCTTATCCTGATCTCTCGGCTTTTCCCCTTCTTTTGCCTTCCCGTCCCCCTCCATCCCTTCCTTCCTTCCTTCCTTTCTCCTTTGCTTCCTTGAGACCCTGTGCCCCACACCTTCATGACTCCTGACATCAGCTCTCTGCTTTGGGAACATTTCCCACAGAGTTAGCATAGAAGTTCATGACCTGAATCCGCCCCAGGAAGGAGAAGGAACCCATCTGCCGGCCCTCCTAAATTATCTTATCTCTCTTCCCACTGAGGATGGGTCCCCTTCTCCCAGCTTTATGATCCCAGAAAGGGAACCATTCAATCCATAAATCACTTGCCCTGCCTCTCCGTTTTCTTCTTGCTAGTCCTGCCTGCCAATGCCACCCCTCACCCCCCAATCCCTACTCCCCTCACCCCCCACCCCCAACCCCCCTACCTCCCCACCTCCCCCCCCACCCCCTGCTCCCCCACGCCTCCACCCCCCAACCCCCCCCACAGGGATGTTGAGAACTTAACGACATGGGGTGTGCAGTCAGGCTGCCCACATTCCCAAACTTCAAGCTTCATGATGTCAGACAAGCTGTTTATTTATTTATTTATTTTGACAGGGTTTAATGCTACTCAGTGTAATGGGTTTAGTGCTATCCTGTGTAATCCAGCAGGATCTCGAATTCTCCTGCCTCCACTTTCTAAGTGCTAGGATCATAGACATATGCCACCATAGCAGCCTAACTTCTTCTTCTTCTTCTTTTTTTTTTTTTCCGAGACAGGGTTTTTCTGTGTAGTTTTTTGGTGCTTGTCCTGGATCTCGCTCTGTAGACCAGGCTGGCCTTGAACTCACAGAGATCCGCCTGGCTCTGCCTCCCGAGTGCTGGGATTAAAGGCATGCGCACTGCCACCCGGCGCAGCCTAACTTCTTTATGCGTAATCAATGAATTTCACCAAGAGGAACTGGAGATGCCAACACCAATTGCATTGAGTTGCTGAAAACATTTAGTTATGTGAAGGACCCAGGTGAGCAGGAGGAAAGCATGAAGCATAGTCTAGTTATTAGCAGTTGTGTGTGGGGGGGGGATGGGGTGAGATAAGAATTTTTAAAGATTTATTTATACAATGTTTTGCCTACATGTATGCTGCATGCCAAAAGAAGGCATCAGATCTTATAGATGGTTTTGAGCCACCATGTGGTTGCTGGGAATTGAACTCAGGACCTCTGGAAGAGTAGCCAGTGCTCTTAACCTCAGAGCCATCTCTCCAGCCCCTTAAATTTTTAAATTACATTTACTTATTTACTTATTCTGTATGTAGGTGACTCAGTTCTCTCCTGCCATCCTGTGGGTCCTGGAGACTGAATTCACGTTCCTTATTAGAGGCAAGTGGAGCCATCTCACAGGCACCCTTCACACTTTTAAAAATTAAAATGGTTTGATTATTATTATGATAGCTGTATGTATACAAAGTGCATGTACAGATCAGAGGACAGTTTTGGGGAAGTGGTTTTGTGGAATCTTTCTCTTCTTTGTGTGGACCGTCAGGGTGGAACTCAGGTTATCAGTCTTGCAAAGCAAGCCTCTTTACCCACTGAATTACCTCACCACCTCCTCCATTTTGCTTTTTGTTCACGTGGAAATTTTAAAAATTGTGTATCCCATGCTGCCTCAAACCCATGGTGGGCTGAAGTACCACCAAGGACCCGAGACCTCCTTATTGATTACCCCAGCATTTCCTCCGGAGTCGGAACCCTAACCTCTTACTCTTGACTCACCTTCCCCCTTGGGTTCTGATTAAGAGCAACTGACTCTGGGGGCTGGAGAGATGGCTCAGAGGTTCCCAGCAACCACATGGTGGCTCCCAACCATCAGTAATGAGATCTGGCGCCCTCTTCTGTATACATAATAAATAAATAAATCTTTAAAAAAAAAAAAAAAAAGAGCAACTGACTCTGACTTGCAAAGGGGACCAGGAGTCTAGAACATCTGCTCAACAGAGCGGGAGGTCTGACAGCATCCCCATTCAGGGATGGACATACAGAGAGCTCAGAAAAATCTCAGGTTCGGTCCAGCTTCACATGCCGGAAGGAGAAAGAGCCAGGAAGAGGAACAGTGATATACAGGAGGTAGACAGATGTAAGGACACGGGACCAGCAACCCCACAAAAGTCAAGTAACTGTGACCAGTGGAATCAGGCTAACTTGTGTTCAGGTATTGAATCTGGCCCTGGGGAGCTGAGTTGACCCTGGGGAAATTGTTCCACCCCCTGTGAGCTTTCATTTCCTTGTGAGGATTATAATCACTTCCATATCATAAGCTTCCTGGGAGCAATCAATACACTAATTGCCGAGGTCATTGCCATGGGACATGGGAGGGCCATAGACGGGGAGCAGGTTACACAGAGAGAGGCACAGGCAGGCAGGCCCTTATACTACAGCAAGCATCCTGGGACAGAGCTCAATGGTAGAGCATTTGCCTGGCTCTGGCTCCTGAGTGCTGGGATTAAAGACATGCACCACCACCGCCCAGCGTGAGGAGTTATCTTGACTGATGATTGACTAAGCCCACTGTGTGTGGCGCCATCCCTGGGCAGGTGAGTTTGAGGCCAGCCTGGTCTGCAGAGTGAGTTCCAGGACAGTCAAGGCTACTACACAAAGAAACCCTGTCTCAAAAAACCAAAAAAAAAAAAAAAAAAAAAAAAAAAAAAAAGAAAAAAGAAAGCTAGTAGAGAAGTCTGGGAGATGATTCAGCAATTAGGAACATGGAGTGCCCTTTCAGAGCACCAGGTTCAGTCCCCAGCACCCACAATGGGTGACTCACAACTGCCTCTAACCTGAGCTCCAGGGGAATTCAACACCTCTAGCCTCCTTCTTGGGTGTCTTGCATGTACATACTCACATACAAACACGTATAATTAAATAAATAAATAAACAAGAAAGCTAACCGAGAGCAAACGAGGCAACCAGCCAGTAAGCAGCATTCCTCCATGGGTTCTGCTTCAGTTCCTGCCTCAGCTTCTGCCGTGGCTTCCCTCTATGATTGACTGTAACCTGTAAAATGAAATAAATCTTTCCTCCCCATGTTTTCTGTGGCCATGGTGTTTATCACGGCAATAGAAAACTGACTAGAGCAAAGGTCATCTTTACATACACTGCGAATTTGAGACTAACCTAGAATAAATAAAATCTTGTCTCAGAAAAGACATATTTGGCCAGGTGGTGGTGGAGCACGCCTTTAATCCCAGCGCTTGGGAGGCAGAGGCAGGCAGATCTCTGAGTTCGAGACCAGCCTGGTCTACAAAGAGAGTTCTGAGATAAATAACTAGGCAGCAGGGATCGGGTGAATGTACTTGTTGGCTCTCCTGACTACTCTTTGTAGAGCAGGTTCTAGGCTGTTCTTTTGTTTACTTCCTTCTTAGCGCTCCTCATAACCTGTAATTACTTTATGTATTTACTTCTACTTGCATAAAGCAGAATCACGTAAACTAAAGGAGGGCTGCAGCGTTGACCATTCTTAGTGGAGGCAGTGCCTGTCACTCATCAGATGTTTTCAGTAAATGGATAGCGCAAAGGGAAAATAAAGCCCACAAAGCCAGGTGGAGATGTTCGATCCTTGGACAAAGTCAGAGGGATTAAGATTCTACGTTGAAGCCTGGTGGTGCCTTTAATCCCAGAGGCAGGTGGATCTCTGGGTTCGAGGCCAGCCTGGTCTACAGGGTGAGTTCCAGGACAGACAGGGCTGCACAAAGAAACCCTGTCTTGAATACAAAACCAAACCTTGACTACCAGGCTGTGTTCCACAAACCCATTGTACAGTCCCAGACCAGATAAATCAGGCTCCGAAGCGTGCTATTCCATGGTTCCCAAAGAGGGCAGCACTAGGCTAGGACTACGGGCTCTGTCGCAGAGCATGAGACTCCTACAGGAGACCGTCCTGGTTGGTGACGTGCACGGAGGAAAGTTTGCGCCACCCCTGCCTTTCTTCTCCCAGCTGGAACGCTGATCCTTATTGTTGCTCAGAAGAGGCCTCCGGATACCTGGCCTCCACTCCGATTTCGGCATATACCCGGAAGGATGAAGAAAGAAAGGGGCCGCCTTTGGCAGGACACGTAGTCACCACGTGGATGGGGTAGCCGAGAGAAAAAAGAACAGCACCTGCTGGGGTGACTAGCACTACCGCGGCGCCTTTAAGGCCAGAGCAGGAGGCGTGGCCTTGAAGTATGTCCGGGCAGGGGGAGGGTCTTTCAGGTGACGTAAGGCCGAGCAGAGGGCGTGGCTTCTCCATGCCGGGCAGCCAGGAAAGGGGCGGAGCTCGTGATGACGAGACACCTGGGAGGGGGCAGGCGTTCATTGATAAAAACGCCGGGCTCCCTCGGGCGCGATCGCAGCGTAGAGAAACCAGGCAGCGCCACGCGCAGCCGGGGCCGGGCGGAACCGAGAACTAGCTGGGGCCGGCGCTGCGCCGCGCTGCCCGCATGGAGCCAGCCGCCGGCTTCTTGTCCCCGCGCCCCTTCCCGCGTGCAGCCGCACCGCCCGCGCCCCCCGCCGGCCCGGGGCCGCCTTCTAGTGCCTCGCCGCGGTCGGAGCCTGAGGTGCTGGCCGGGCCACCAGCGCCGGACCCGGGTCGCCTCATCACCGACCCGTGCAGCGGCCGTACCTACATCAAGGGCCGCTTGTTAGGCAAGGTAGGTCGGGGGCTTTGGGGTGGCGCTGACGGAGGTGGAGGAGAGCCCTCCGGGCCCGACCGTGCCTCTCCGGAGCGCCCAGGCCGATGCATCTTCCTCCTCCTAGGGAGGCTTCGCCCGCTGCTATGAAGCCACTGACACGGAGACTGGTGTAGCCTACGCGGTCAAAGTCATCCCGCAGAGCCGCGTCGCTAAGCCGCATCAGCGCGAGAAGGTGGGTCCAAGCCCTGAGGACCAAGGGGTAAGGAGGGGATGGTGGCGTGGGAACCCTGGAAAGATGACGATCTCGGGCCCTCGTCGCAGATCCTAAACGAGATCGAGTTGCACCGAGATCTTCAGCACCGCCATATCGTTCGCTTTTCGCATCATTTCGAGGATGCTGACAACATATACATTTTCCTGGAGCTCTGTAGCCGAAAGGTCCGGAATAAGGGGGATTCATCGGGGACAGGGTTGGGAAAGGAAGTGGATCCTTAATATCCAAAGCTGGGTTCCTGTCATCCTTAGCAAGCACAGATGGAGGGCGGGTCTGGGGAGGCAAACAGGGACTGAAACTGGCTTTCTGCAGTCCCTGGCTCACATCTGGAAGGCCCGGCACACCCTGTTGGAACCAGAGGTTCGCTACTACCTGCGTCAGATCCTTTCAGGCCTCAAGTACTTGCACCAGAGGGGTATCTTGCACAGAGACCTCAAGCTGGGTGAGATTCCTGGGTCTGGTACGAAAGGTGGGGACCTGGGGAGGGAAGAGAGGGAGTGAAGAAGGATCCGACACGTCTCTCTGCCACTATCTAGGAAATTTTTTCATCACTGATAACATGGAACTGAAGGTGGGGGATTTTGGACTGGCAGCTCGGTTAGAGCCCCCGGAGCAGAGGAAAAAGTAAGTGAGGGGATGATGGCCATAGTCTGTATATGACACAGATGATGGACAGTGTGACAGTGTGTATGTGGAAAGCAAGGTGACCTGATGTGTGCTTGGGATAAACAGGGATGGGGTGATGGGCTGTCCGTATGTGTGAGGGTAGAGGTGGCAACCTAGGACAACAGTCTTAATGTGGCGCAGATGGTGGGTGCCCTGAGTCCCTGACACAGAGAGGAGTCTAAGGATTTTTGGAACTGTATGGCTGACCCTGTGTTGGATGGGGAAAACAGGCCAGGCCGTGAGCATGTATGTGAGACAGACTGAGTGTGGGAATGACAGGACATGCCACTCTGTGTCAGGGTGTGTGTAACACAGATAGCATGTGTGGCAGGTGAGTGTCTATGGAGGGTACGACAGCTGGTGTTGTTGTGTGCAGCACAGACTGTGGGAGGTGACAGCCTAATGAGTGTTTGACAGACGGGAGTGGGGGAAGGGATCAGTCCTGGCCCCTCTGTTTTGACCTTGGGAGAGGGGGCTGTGATGGGGTCAGGGCCTCCTCCTGTGCTGCGGAGCAGCTGAGCAGCTGGACTAGACGGGTGGGTGAGGACTCAGCTGCCATTCCCAGCATCCATTGTCCCAAGACAAGCAGGAGCTCTCTGGCCTTTGGTGACAAGCAGCTGCTTTGTCTGAACTCACAGCAGGGGCAGGAATGGGGCGGGTGCTGGGCTGGGTCTGAGCCTTCCCCTCTCCGCCCTACCCTCTTTCAGGACCATCTGTGGCACTCCCAACTATGTGGCTCCAGAAGTGCTGCTGAGACAAGGCCATGGCCCCGAGGCAGATGTGTGGTCACTTGGTTGTGTCATGTGAGTGCCAAGGTCATTGGCAGACAGGTGCATGGACAGGGTGTTCCCACTACTTGACTCCTGACCTCCCGTTCCTGGACACAGGTACACACTCCTGTGTGGGAGCCCCCCATTTGAGACAGCTGACCTGAAGGAGACGTACCGCTGCATCAAGCAGGTTCACTACACGCTGCCTGCCAGCCTCTCACTGCCTGCCCGTCAGCTCCTGGCCGCCATCCTTCGGGCCTCACCCCGAGACCGCCCCTCTATTGAACAGATTCTACGCCATGACTTCTTTACGAAGGTCTGTGGTTCTCCAGACCCCCGGAGTTCAGTCTGCATGTTCTCAAAGGACAGATGGGAGCAGGACCCTTGGGGTCTCACTTCTCTGTTTGCATGGCTCTCTTCCTCAGGGCTACACCCCTGATCGGCTCCCTGTCAGCAGCTGCGTGACTGTCCCAGATCTGACACCCCCTAATCCTGCAAGGAGTCTGTTTGCCAAAGTTACCAAGAGCCTGTTTGGCAGGAAAAAGAACAAGAGTGAGTCAGGTGTTGGTGGGTTGAGGGCATAGAGCAGTAGAGTGCTTGTTACATTCATTTGAGTAGGGGATGTTCCAGGTGTGGGCGTCTGTAGACTCTTGGGGAGAACATGTGTTGTCTAGACACTTGGGAAGACCTGCCTGTGTGTAACATGTGGTCAGGCGGACACTGAGGACTGTATCTTCCCTCACCCCCAGATAAGAACCATTCTGAGGAGCGGGATAATGTCTCCTGCTTGGTGAGCGGCCTGATGCGCACATCCCTCGGTCACCCAGATGTCAGGCCTGAGGTGAGGTGCTCACGTGAGCATTATTCCCCTGACTCACCCTGACCCTAGCAGCTGAGGGAAGCCCAGCATAAATGGCTGATGAAGCATCCAACCTCGTGGTGGCCTAATTGGCTGTGTCTCATTAGCCAGCTGAGGCTGACCTGGGGTGCCCTGAGAGCCACCAGGGACAGGGCTGGGCCACTGGACTTTCAAGGATTTGAATTCTGGGGCCTAATCTTACTCCCTCTCTACCCAACTGTCCAGGCTCCAGCAGCTTCAGGTCTGGCCCCTGCCAGCTTGGTAGAGACAGCTGCTGAGGACAGTTCACCCCGTGGGACACTGGCAAGCAGTGGAGATGGTGAGGAGCCAGAAGATGAGAGGTGCTGGAGGTGGCTGGGGTGGCGACCAGGGGCTAGAAGGACGTAGTTGGCTGAGGGACATGACCTGGGCCCAGGGAGGCTATTGCCTAAATGTCAGTATCCTGTTCCCTCAGGGTTTGAAGAAGGTTTGACGGTGGCCACAGTGGTAGAATCTGCCCTCTGTGCACTGAGGAACTGTGTGGCCTTCATGCCCCCAGGTAAGGCTGGGCTCTGGTACATGTGAATAGTTTGGCAAGTTCTTTTGGACCTAGAAGCCAGGGGAAAGTCTTCACTCCCTCCTCTCCTGTAACAGCGGAACAGAACCCAGCCCCGTTGGCACAGCCAGAGCCTCTGGTGTGGGTCAGCAAGTGGGTTGATTACTCCAACAAGTTTGGCTTTGGGTATCAGCTGTCCAGCCGCCGCGTGGCCGTGCTCTTCAACGATGGCACACACATGGCCCTGTCAGCCAATAGAAAGTAAGTGCTATTTTGGGGTGCTTTGTATTTACGGTGCTATTGTACCAAGCAGGGTTGCACCTTGACACTTCTCTGCTCGGGGGTCTGGGGTCTCAGATCCAAAGGGGGGGGGAACAAACGATAATGCCAGGCTCTTCTTCTCTGCACTGCCCACTTTTCAGGATTGTGCACTACAACCCCACCAGCACGAAGCACTTCTCCTTCTCTGTGGGGTCTGTACCCCGTGCCCTGCAGCCTCAGCTGGGCATCCTGCGGTATTTCACCTCCTACATGGAGCAGCACCTCATGAAGGTGTGTGTGGGCTGCTGTGGGGGCGCTTGAGGGACTAATGCACCTTGCTATCTTCTGATTCTCCGCTGTTGGTGATGGGGGAGGGGTGGCCCAAACAGGGATAGTGGCTGAACCTGTAAGGGCAAGAGCCGTCCAGAGGGAGAGACCCAGTTCATGCCAGTCTGGTGACCTGAGCTGCCTGTTCTCCCAGGGCGGAGATCTGCCCAGTGTGGAAGAGGTGGAGGTGCCGGTCCCGCCCCTGTTGTTGCAGTGGGTCAAGACTGATCAGGCCCTCCTCATGCTGTTTAGTGACGGCACTGTCCAGGTAAGAGCCCATCCTAACTTTGGAGGGTTCTGGGAAGGTCTGTGAGTCTGGTGCCCAAGCCCTGGACATTTGTTACCTTCTGTGCGCAGGTGAACTTCTATGGGGACCACACCAAGTTGATCCTCAGTGGCTGGGAGCCTCTCCTCGTGACTTTTGTGGCCCGGAATCGCAGCGCTTGTACTTACCTCGCTTCCCACCTGCGGCAGCTGGGCTGCTCCCCAGACCTGCGGCAGCGACTGCGCTATGCTCTGCGGCTGCTCAGGGATCGAAGTCCTGCTTAGGTTCCGACCTGCAGAGCAGGCTGTGATCCAGACCCCAGGCCTGTGCCTGAAAAAGACTCTGGCCCTTGCCTTTGTGGCCCTTCCTGTCCCTTTGGTGCCTCACTGGGGGCTCTGGGCTGAATCCCCCAGGGAATCAGGGACCAGTTTTACTACAGTTGGGGATGGCTTGCCCTCCCTGTCTCTTACCCTCTCTCCCTGAGATAAGCCTGAGCCTTAGCTCCCAGCTAGGGGGCATTATTTATGGACCACTTTTATTTATTAACAGACATTTATTTATTGGGATGTGAGCCCCAGGGGGGCCTCCTCCTGGGATAATAAACCGTTTTTAAGAACTTGAAGGCCTTATCATTCCCAGTAGACCGCGTGGACAGTCGCCACGGCAAACAGCGAAGTGTTGGTGAAGGTGGCAGAGGCCAGTCCATCGTGCACCGCATCCCAGAGTGCGCGGCTGACCACGTGCACACCCTGTCTCTCGCGTGGCCCCAGCACCACGCTGCACACCAGTTTGTAGCGGGGTAGGCTGAGCTCCCGCACACGAATGCGTATCTGTTCACACAGAGCCTGTGCCAGTTTCCCCGCCTCGGTACCGGAGTAGCATACGTTGCTCAGCTCAGTTTCCAGCGCTGCCTCCAGGGCCCGCTGAGCGCTTGCTGCTTCCCAGCGCTCCCCCGGTGCCGGTTCTGTGCGGTAGGAGGGTGCCATCCGACGGGCAGGCATCAGGGGTAGCCCAGAAAAGCTAACTCGTGCACCTAAAGGGGGCATTGGGCCCAGGGATAGTCGTCGACCTCCAGGACCTACTAGGGGTCCTGCCAGTGAGTTGCGGCGGGAAAAGGATGGGTGTAGGCTCAGCAGGGAGCCACGCCGGGAGGCTGGGCCTGGGCCTGTAGGTCGGGTCTCATTAATGCTGGGCAGGTGACCTCCAGACTTCCCTGGTGGTAATTTCAGAGCCAGGTCTTTGGTAGTCTCCTCTTCCTGACGTCCAGATGGCAGAGTCCTGCCAGCCATGGACCTGCCTGCTGGAAGATCCACACTTAGGAGTGACCCTCACTGGCAGAGAGCTCCCTACACCTAGCCTCTTGCTCAGTGAAGTTGAGATTTGTGTGTGTGTTTGAGACAATGTCTCACATGGCCTCCAACTTGTGTAGCTGAGGCCGGCCTTGAACTCCATCCCCCTGCCTCCAACTCCTGAGTGATGGGATTGCAGGATGTGCGACCACACTCAGTGCCTCCCTCGTAGACTATGGCATATATCACCATGTCTAGCTCCTCCATATCCCTCTCTTACCTGTGTCTTTGGAACCAGTAGATCAATTGGGGGTGCATGGGCCGCTTAGAGAAGGTTAAGAGCTGTTGGAGATATAATCAAGGGAAGGAGTTGCTTAGATAATGATCATGGAACCTCTGCCCAGAGTTCTTTCCCCTTGGTCACTTTGGAGGCTGACTGGGTGAGCAGTGAGTCCACTTCCTTTTCCCCCTCCCGCTTGATTTCACCAGCAGAATGGCAACAAGAAGCTGGCTTCTGGGTTTCTTCAGTCCATACCCAGAAGGGACAGACCCGACTCCGTCACTCCCATAGATCTCTCTAGCCTCAGAAGTACAGAATTTAATCGTCTTCCCTGCTCTAAGTAGGGTGTGACTTCTCTTGACCTCCCGCATCTGGAGGCAGGCGACGAGTGAGGCAACTTCCATCCTCGTCCTTAGGTCTCTCCTTCCATCAGAACCATCTGTGGGATGGATGCCCTCGTCCCCCGAAACTCCCTCAGGCACCTGACTCACCTGCAGCCTTTGGCCTCCAAGCTCTGCTGGCCTCAGTCTTTACTGAGCTGCCCTGACGGGCCTGTGGGCAGGGAAGGCTTGTGTTGTGCAGTTACCATGGGGTTGCTGTAGCAAGCATGCCCCTCCTTCCCAGAACTCCTCCCTCCAGCCAAACTCTGGAATAACCTAAGTGTTAATGCTATGGGCACCTGCTGGGGGGAGAGAGAGTGCCCTGAGTTATGGGGGGGGGGCGTCCACAGGGGCTTGGAGTTCTAGAGTATTGCAGATGAGGGGGTGGGTGTGCTCATCAGAAGGGTGCTTGCTTTTGAGCCACTATTTTTTTATGAGGTGGCCAGTCATCTGGCCTGGCCATTTGTGAACAAGCCACAGGGGCCTGGGATATGCTAAAGCCTTGAGACTATGGGGGCGGCTTCTTAGGAATCCAGTATCTGGGCTCACAGGAAAGAGTACGTCATAGTTTTACATTTTCCCATCAGCCTCAACAAGGACAAACATTTCCGCTTCAGGGCACAGCTAGGGTGGGGCTTGGATGACTTCCTTACTTCAGAGCTGTGTGCTGATGAGGGGAGGCCTTTTGGCTCAGCGGGAAGGACCCAGGCCTAACACAGCCATGAGTCAGTGGTGAATCTAAATCCAGTCTCTTGACCTTTGCTGACCCACTCAGGTGCCCTGGGACTTATCCGCAGCTGGCCACACCCCCTTCATGCCCCAGTATCTAGAATATGATGCCTCTCTCACTAGGGATGGTTGCTTCCCAGGGATGCCAGAGGCTCTATTGCTTCTGTCAGAACTCAACTCTCCCACTCTGGGAGGCATGGGGCTGCCCCCTCCCAGGCAAACTAAGTCTGAGCTCTGAAAACCACACTTAGGGGTGAGAATTTTCCTGATGAGGTGATGCTTCAGGCCTGGCTATCCCGGTTTTAAACTGAACCCGTAGGGAAGGGACTAGGAAGGCTGAAGCCTTGAATTCTGAACCCAGCGTAGGCAGGAGCCGGCACTAGGACCCTCGAACTCTTCTTAGGGCTCTTCTGAAATATTTTTCTGGGCGGATAGGGAGATGGGCGGGGCCTCCTCAGGCTCAGCTCCAGTTTCCATGGAAACTCACAGGCTTCCAACCCAGCCACTGCCCAGGCAGGCTCCCAACCTGGGCCTCATCTACCACCAGCTTCTCGGGGATCATAGGCCTTTCTAGCCTCAGCTTCTTTGGGCCCTCTCTGTACCTGCGTCCCTTTCCTGAACCTCAGGCCTTCTTTAGGGGCCTGGGCCTCTTTTCTCCTAGACCTTCAGCTCCTCCACAAACAGGCCTCCACAGCTCCTGCCCTCCCTCTCAGGCCTCTCCCCTCACTAGCGCTTGGCCTGGTTGGGCCTCCTAGGCCATTCTACCCTTTGCTCTGCTGCTCATCCCTCCTATGGAGAACCCAGGACTGACTGTGCATGGGCAGGCTGCACCCTTTTCCACAGCGCTCCGAAGCCTTGTCAACAACTCCTGGTACAGGTGAGGCAGTGCCCCCACCCCGGGGGTCCCTAGCTGGCTCTCATGGGCCTATGAATTTGAGGAGGCTAAGGGTGAAGAGGCCGGGAAGGAGCACTTGGCCTCCCTGGTGAACTCAGTCTATGAGGAAGTCAAGTAGGGAGGATGTCTACTGGCCTGTGTCCATGCTAGCCTGAGAGTCAGAGGTGGGGGGTAGGGAGGAGGGAGGGCAGCTGTGTGAACTCAGGCAAAGCCCTTCCTTCTCTGGACTGAGGAAGGAATCCTCAACCCTCTGGGTCCTGAAAGGCGGAATTTGACTTGTCTCACTCCCATTGGGTCTTCGACTCAGTGCTGGGCTTCTTTCCTTGAAGAGACAGAGGAGCAGAGCACTCTAGGGATTCAGAACAGGAGCGAAACACAAAGGCTTGGGTCAGAGACCCAGACAGGAAGTAGTTCAAGGTTGCTGACTGCCCACTGCTTGCCCAAGAGGCTGTGCTGTCTGGAACCAGGAATAGAGTTTACTGGGGGCAGGGCTGGTGACGGGAGACGGACTGCCGCTTCCCACCCCCGGCTTCCCATCCCCACCGTCTCAGGCTGCCTGCTCCCCAGGGTTAGGGACAGTCATAGTTCTCTCTTTTTTTTGAGGGCAGAGTGTCACAGTCTGGCCTAAAGAGTGGACCCTTAGGCCTTGAGCCTGGGAGTAGGAGGGAGGCACTGGCAGCTGAAGCTTTCTCCGCGGCCTCCCCCTCTACCTTAGGCAGAGCTTCAGAGGCCCAGAAGCTGGGGCCGGAAGTGATTATGAAGATGGAAAATGTGGTCTCACCTCATGATGGCGCATCACTTGCCATGTCTGTCTACAGTCAGTGTGCTCTGTACCCCACATCCTCACACCCTCCTACGGGAAGGAGAGTGAAAATGCTGAGGTGGCATCTCGGGGGGAGCAGCGACGAGGGGAGTTTCCTTTCCCCAGGACTCAGACTGGGGAGCAGCGATCAGTCTGGCTTTCGTGAACCCTGGTTTGACCAAGCGTAGTCAACTCCTCTGAGACCCGTGGTCATGGCTGAGCAGCCTGAGAGACAAAGATAGAAAGCCCCAGGGTGGAGCTGAGACTGGGAACTGAGACTAGCATTTAGGCCTGTGTCTCCCCGACGTGGGCTTTGACCTTACATAAAAAGAAGCTGAGTGAGTCCCGGGGTGGCAGAGGCAAGCCGAAAGTGTGATCCAGGGTCAAGATTCCCTTCTCTGGTTCCCTGTCCTCTCTTCCGCAGCGACATCTGCTTTGTGGTTGGTCGAGAACGGCAGGAGGTGTTTGCCCACCGGTGCTTGCTGGCCTGTAGATGCAACTTCTTCCAGAGACTTTTGGGCACAGAGCCAGGCCCGGGGGTACCCAGTCCTGTGGTGTTAAGCACTGTGCCGGCTGAGGCCTTCTTAGCTGTGCTGGAGTTCCTGTATACCAACAGTGTCAAGCTGCACCGCTGCTCTGTGAGCTTACCAAGCAGGGGTCCGGGTAGGAGAGAGGCTAGGGATATGAGAGGCAGGAGTCTGCCCATTACACTGTGGGTCAAGGGGCAGGGAAACTCCCTTCTGCTTCCTCAACCACCCCGCCCCCCATGCAGGTGTTGGAGGTGCTGACAGCAGCTGTGGAATATGGGCTGGAGGAACTTCGAGAGGTGGGTGTCTCAGGCAAGGCAACTTGCTTCCCTTGCCTTTCAGTTCCTAGCCTCCTTCACACAGTCTGACGGTCTCACACAGACAGAGGTATGTACACAGGATCTGCACATGCTCAGTGTGTGCTGAGTGAGCGTCGGAAGTATTTGTGGCTGGTTCTGCAGTACAGGGGTAAATTGGCTTTGGCCGGTGACGGAATGGAGAGAGACACATGAAGATACTTAACATGCATGGGCCATGGTGCTTCAGGCTAGTCCCAGCACTCAGAAGGCTGGGGAGGATGGCGAGTTTAAGGCCAGCCTGAACTACCTAGGGAGTTAAGGCTAGCCTAGGCTACAGAGTGAGACTTAGTCTCAAAAAGCTGAACGTAAGTGTGATGGGCAGACTGCTGATGGATGGAGAGAAGATTCCTGGAGAAGGAAACTTGTGTTAGGGCTGGAAAACAAGTAGCGTTTTGTTCAGGAGAGTGGGAAGATTATAGTCACAGGGCACTCAAGGAGCTGCTTAGATGTGTGGGGTGGTTGGACTGGGAACATGGGTGCGGGGTAAACTGGAAAGGTACCAGGAGGCTGCTTCATGCAGGTGTTTCAAGAATTTTTGCTTTAGGCTGGGAGTGTAGTTCAGTGGTCCAACGCTTGCCTAGCACGCTATAGGCCCTGGGTTCAATTGCCAGCACTAGCCAGGTGTGGTGGTATATACCTCTTTTTCCAGCACTCAGTAGGCAGGATAGAGAGGAGGATAAGACCAAGCTCACGGCCACCCTGGTCTACAGAGTGAAGTTCTAGACCAGCCAAAGTTACACAGCAAGACTCTGTCTCAACTTTCCCTCCCCTGGAGTCCTCTAAATGCAAGGGGAGTGGAGATTCACTGAAAGTTTTGGGCAAAGGAGCTAAGGGGGAAAGGGACTGAGAAAAAAGGGAAAGGAAAGGGCCTGTCAGGCCAGTCAGATTAGTGTCAAAGTCAAGAGGGTGTGGTCGAGATGGAAATGGCGGTCCAAGAGACATGGGTGGTTCTGAGACCAGACAGCTGTCACCACCCAGCGCTTCTGGAAGAGCGGGAGATGTCAACCGTGAGATTTAGGTTTCTGTCAAAAATAGAAGTGTCATTGGGTCAAGGAGGGAACAGTGGAGGAAGATAGAGAGGGAAGAGGAGGCTGGAGGTCTGAAGGGCCTCAGCGGACACAAGTGCACCAGGGGTTGCTTCGGGCTTGGCTTTGCTAGCCTCCAGGCCCTCTAGGCTTGCTAAGTTGCGGGTCCGAACAATTCTGTTTCCCAAATCTACACAGTCAAGATGGCTCTGGGTCTCTGGGAGTCTGGATGACTCATTGCTGCAAGCCTACTCACTCCTTCTAGGGTAGGACTTGAGGTCTTGAAGCAAGGACACCTCCGCACAATTCACTTTCGTTTCTGTCCCCAGTTATGCCTGGAGTTTGTGGTGAAGGTGCTGGATGTGGAGTTGGTCTGTGAGGCCCTGCAGGTGGGTACTGCTGGACAGCTCTGGGGAGGAATCTGATTTTGAGAATGTGGTCCTGGCCTCTCCACATGCCAGAAGCCTTGACTGGCTGCATCTGCTAGAGAACAATATGAGGGCATGTTTGCTCAAGGATGCTGATGAGATAAACTCTGTGCCCAGATCTGTGGGTGTAGAGTACATGAGTAAGGTCATACGTAGGAGGAAGAGTCAAGGGCTGGAAAAGGCAGGCGTGGTGACACACACCTTTAGTCCCAGTTCTCAGGACGCAGAGGCAATTGGACCTGAGTACAAGGACAGCCAGGGCTACACAGTGGTCTTCTATTAAGAGTGGGAAATGGGGCCGGGAGGTGGTAGTGGCACATGCCTTTAATCCCAGCACTCGACTGGAGAGGCAGAGGCCAGAGGATCTGAGTTCGAGGCAGCCAGGGCTACATAGAGAAACCCTGTCTTGAAAAAAACAAAACAAAACACAAAAGAGTGGGAAATGGCTCTTAGCAGGGATAGAGGAAAGGTGGGATGTGGAGTTGAGAAGCCAAGCCTGGGCTCCAAGATGGAGTTTGAAGGACCTGAACATGGCCTCCTTTATCATCTGCCTGTGTGTTCATGGCCACCGCGTTTTCCCCAGGTCTAATTTCATTAGACATTGTACATGCTGTCAGTCTCCCCATTTGGATTGCTCTCAGGCTTGTGGAAGTCCCTAGTGTGCAGGGCTGGGTTACACGGCCTCTCCAGTCTCTAGCCTGACCACCTTCACTCTGCTCTCAGGTTGCTGTGACCTTTGGCCTGGGGCCGCTGCAGGAGCGGTGCATAGCCTTCATAGAGACTCACAGCCAGGTACAGCGCCCCATCATTCTACTTGCAGCCTGTCTCTCCCCCACGCCATTCTTTTCTGCCCTGATCGATACACCGATCCATAGGAGGCGCTCCGCACCCGTGGCTTCCTGGAGCTGTCGGCCACTGCGCTGCTGCCCGTGCTACGCAGTGACAAGCTCTGCGTGGATGAGGCTGAGCTGGTCAAGGCAGCCCGAAACTGGGCGCGCGTGGGCGCCGTGAGTGGGACCTGGGGGGGGGGGCGAGGGCGTGGGCTGCAGGTACTCCGCAAACGGGCGGCAGGGCACAGGCCGCCGCTCCGTCGGGGCTCAGGGTTCCCTTCCACAGGCGGTGTTGGAGCGACCGGTGGCCGAGGTGGCGGCTCCAGTGGTTCCAGAGCTGAGACTGGCCTTGCTGGCCCCGGCGGAGCTGAGCGCCCTGGAAGAGCAGAACCGACGGGAGCCGCTCATCCCGGTGCGGACGCGAGTAACCAGGCTCAGACCCACTCCGCCACGTGGGGATGTGGAGCTGGGACCCTGGCCAGGGACTTCGGACTCCGTGGTGACCCGCTTTCTCCCCATAGGTGGAGCAAATTGTGGAGGCGTGGAAGTGCCACGCCCTACGGAGAGGAGATGCGGTCCGAGGCGCACCGTGCCGTCGGCGAAGGGGAACCCTGCCCCGGGATCACCACCGTTTTCTGGACCTTCGTTTCAAATGACCTACTTCCGGAACTTGGGAGGAATTCGATCGCAACCCAAACTACAGCTCCCGAGGTGCTCTGCGCTCGAAGCGGACTTCCGCCCTCAGCAAGCCCAGCCAGCCGGATGTCGGAAGAACAGTTCTCAGTCTGGAGCAATGCTTAAAGCCTCCGCCTAGAAGTAGGGGCGGGGCAGTGGGCACAAGGTTAGGGCCGACGCCCCGAGACCGGAAGCGAGGGTGGCCTTTCTTCCATGAGCTCACACCGCATCCTGCTGCCGGTCACTCCTCTGTGCCCTTCTATTTGGATACGCGGCTATCTATTTACCTCATCGTCTTCAACAACAAATCAGCTTCCTGGCTCCAGGCTCAGTGCGGATTTGAGTTTCTCATCTTTTCTCCCACTCTTCCGGCCCCGTAAATAGTGCTTCTCATTTCCGCGGGTCAGGAACTCGGATCTCCTTCTTGCCTACCTCATGCCTTCTCCCTTCTAATAGCACTTTCGAGTTGGTTTAGTCTGCAGCCTCTCTTCTGCCATTTCCCCAGCCAATGGTCCCTCACTCCTTTCTCCCTCAGCGCACAGTGCATCCCTGTGATGGCTCCCCCGCTGCGACTGTCACTCCCCCCCCCCCCCCCCCCCCCCCCCCCCCCCCCCCGCTTCACGTTCTTAACTGCATTACAGGGCAAGCTACTAAAGTTCCTGGATATTTAGCAGTTCTTAACTCCGAGTTTGGGAGTTCCAGAATTAACTTTTTTGGCGGTGGTGGGGAGGGTGAGGGATGGATAATCTCTTACTGTGTAACCCCCAGCTGGCCTAGAACTCACTATGTAAGCCAGGCTAGCCTTGAATTCACAGAGCTGCGACTGCCTCCCTGGTACAGAGATTAAAGGCATCATGGACTATTACTTCCAGTTTAAGAAAAAAAAAATCTGGCCAGTGGTGGAACATCCCTTTGATTTTGATCACAGCCTTTGATCACAGTACTCGGAAGGCAGAGGCTGGCTGGCGGTTCTCTGAATTTGAGGCCATCCTGGTCTGCAGAGCGAGTACCAGGACAGCTAGAGCTACACAGAGAAACCCTGTCTCAAAAAATGAGACAGGGTTTCTCTGTAACAGGCCTAGCTGTCCTGGAACTCGCTCTGTAAACATCCACCTGTCTGCTGGGATTAGAGGCGGGCACAAAACAAAAACCCCTTGAAGAGATGGGAAAGAGCTGGGCGGTGGTTTTAATTCCAGCACGGGAGGCAGAGCCAGGTGGATCTCTGTGAGTTCGAGGCCAGCCTGGTCTACAGAGTGAGTTCCAGGACAGGCACGAAAACTACACAGAGAAACCCTGTCTCAAAGGGAAGAAAAAAAAAAAAAGATAGATGGGAAAGAATCTTAACTCATGCTCAGGCTGGTCTGGACATACTGGGCTGAAACAGTTCTGTCTCAGCATCCCCACCTTCAGTAGCTGGAACTACTATTATACATTTCTCTCTCTCTCTCTCTCTCTCTCTCTCTCTCTCTCTATATATATATATATATATATATATATATATATATATATATATATATATATATAATATTTTTTTCCAAGAAAAACCACTACCGCCCGGCTCCCAGCAAATAATTTTAAAAGAGCTGTAAAGCAAGATTTAAAAATGAAGAACAGTGGACACTTTAAAAGGAAATAAAATTATAATCCTGACATACAAAACTATATTGCTTATGGATTAGTGATGGCTACTGTATTCTTTCTCCAGAGGGTACCCTTGTTTGGATGTGAACACTGAAGGCAGTTTGCTGCTCACATGCCTGTGATTCTCTTGCTTTTTTGTACTTTATTTTACACTGACCTTCGAGGTCATGTACTAAGCCTGTGCTTCCATTAGCTTTGCTATAACATTTGATGAAAACGGCTTTCTAAATTGTTTTCAAGAACTTGGAAATCATTGACATTGCCTGAAACCACCAGTCCTTCACTCAAGGACGGAAAACTCCACCTTTCATGCAGGCTGACACTGCTGTCTTCTGATCAGGCCTGTTCCTGAGGCACACATAGCCTGGTGGAACAGGCCTGTAAATGTAAGCACTCGGGAAATGGACAGAGGAGGGTCGGCAGTTTGAGGCCAGCCTAGTTAGCTACATGGTGAGACCTGTTTCCAAAAACAAAATAAACTGGGCCTGGTGTCATACACCTTTAATCCCAGCACTCAGGAAAGCAGGAGCAGGCAAATCTCGGTGAGTTCAAGGCCAGCCTGGTCTACGTGAGTTCCAGGCCACTCAGAGTTATCTATAAATAAAAACCAAACTCGTTGTGGTGGCCTATGATTTAAGCACTAAGAGGACTGAAGCAGAAATGTGGCTAGTCTGCTTGGGCAACACAGCAAAATCTAGTCTCAAAAACCAAGTAGCACATGATGACCCTCCTGCCTCAGGTTCCCAAGTGATAGAATTAATTACAGGCATGAACACCACACCCCAGACCCTACTGTTCAAGCCTCTATAAAAGAGGCCGATAGAAAACAAGGCTTCCAAAAACTGGGTCATGAGCAGGGTGTGGTGGCTCAGGTCTGTAATCCTAGCAATGGGGAGCAGGTCACTCTGGGTTCAAGGACAGCTATCCCTGCATTCCAGATACCTGGAATACCTGGAATACAGAATGAGAATCTTTCCAAAAACAAACAAACAAAAAGGTGGTGGATGCTGGAGAGAAGGCTCAGCTGCTCTTGGGAAGGACCAAAGTTCAATTCCCAGCACCCATGTCAGATAGCTCACGCCCACCTGTAATCCAGCTCCAGGGAGTCTGCTGTCTCTAGTCTCCATGCGTGTCTGAATGCCACATTCACATACCACCCCCCCACCCCCCACATAGACAGTTTAAAATAAGATAAATCTGAAAGAAAAAAATGTTGACTCAAAACTGTTCCTCGTCATGGAAATGTCTGCATGAAAGGCGAAAGATACCAGTGATATGAAGAGAAACCAGAGGATGGGTGTGCCACTTGGTTTCTGGCCTCCCAGAGGTTCAGGGCCTCAGCTGCATGGTGTAGGCTAGATGGCTACAGTTTATACACATGTGTGTTTCCAGCAAGTAAGTTGCATCCTACAATCACGGAAAAACATCCTCAGGACTGGAACTCAAGCACAGTGAAACTGTTTTCTCTTGAAGTACCCTGGGTATGCAAATTCAAAGGCCTGGGACTGGTTTGGTAAACCAGCTGTGGGAATGTGGGTGAGCAGAACTGACCGAGAGGAAGCTGTGGATTCCAGGCCACTGCTCACCCTGCTTCTCTGCCAGTTGCCTGGGACCTTGCGCTGTCTTTCCTCATGCGATCTGGGATTGGTAAATTATTGGTCCCAGTGCTGGGGTGACTGTTTTGTTGTTCCAGACTGGCAGAGCACCCTCAGTTTCAGACTGAGCAGCCTGGCTCAGCACTCCGAAGCAGGACCACACAGGAGGGCATGTCACCACCCTCTCTGTGGCAGTTGTCATCCAGGTTTTCTTTTTTTCTTTTATTATTATTATTATTTTTTTTTTTGGTTTTTGAGACAGGGTCTCTCTATATAGCCCTCCTGTCCTAGAACTCACTACATGGATCAGGCTGGCCTTGAACTCACAGACAGCCACCTGTCTCTGCCTCCCGAGTACTGGAATCAAAGATATATGCTACCATGTCTGGCTCTAGGTTATCTTTTGTTTTGTTTTGTTTTAGAACAGTGTCTTACTCTATAGCTTCGGCTGTTCTCAAACTCACAGAAATTCTCCAGCCTCAGCCTCTCGAGGGCTGAGATTACCAGTGTGAGCTGCCACACTCAGTAGCATCCAGTTCCTCTTGAAGGATGACTTGGGTTAGGACGAGGGGAGGTGAGGAAGAACCTAGGCAGAGGGGTTGACAGGTGCAAAGTTATGGTGACCCAAACAGTGTGGTTTATTCTTGTCCAGGAAGTGGAGTGTGTTTTAAAGAGGCTCTGTCTGACAGTGGAGGCTAGCCCTAGTGGAGCCTAGAATGGGATTAGGCTTGACCTATGGCGTGGGGAGCCATGGAAGGGTGCTAAGCCAGAGGGTGGAGTAGGGCTAGGCGCTGCACAGGGTGAGCTCACTTTACAAGCAGTATGGGACGTCTCACCTCAGGCTGGACGAGGTCAGTGGCCAAGACTGCGCCTGGGGTGGTTCAACTCTGACTGGATCCGTTCAGTGACACCCTCATTCCTCGGAACTGCACTGATCATGCAATCAGGGTAAAAACTTTCAACACAGCTGTGAACAATGTTCCTAAAAGGAAGCGCTCCTTCTGAAAGGCTGACTAAGCCATCAGAACCTCAATGATGTGCCGAGGTTGGAATGCTATGTCTAGAGCCAAATTATCTTGGGACATCTTTGGCCCCCACAATAGCCATTTGCTGTCCTCTGTACATGACATCACATCTTTGTGGCCACTAGGTAAATCCTTTGAAAAGTACAAATTCCTAGTTTCCAACCCACCAAAGAGCTAAGAATTCCACCAGCATTGGAGCGAGGCCTGTAGAAGTTCTCTGGCTTTGTGATTACCGGGTTACCTAACATTCCCAATAATGTGCGCCATGGCCTTTTTGGTGTTTTTATTTGTGTGTGTGTGTGTGTTTTGTTGTTGTTGTTTTTGTTTTTTTCGAGACAGGGTTTCTCTGTGTAGCCCTGGCTATCCTGGAACTTGCTTTGTAGACCACGCTGGCCTCAAACTCTGACCTTCACATTAGAAACAGCACATACATACCCAACTACCTACCTATACATCAAATAAAATGTAATAAAATAAAAAAGGACAGCATTCCATGTAGCCAAAGCTAACCCCAAACCCTAAGTGGCAGAGGATGACCTCTGGTCCTACCACCTAAGTGCTGGGATTGCAGGCTTTCATCACTAACTTTAATTTGTTTAAGGCATTTTAGTATTGATTCAGCTGCAATGTGTTTTGTGTGTGTGTGATGTTTGGTTGGACCATGATTTCTGACCTTTGTATGGGTGAGAAGGTATGTGTCGGAGGAGGGGGGTGCATCATTCCTGGTGAGCAGTGGCTGGAACTCGGGGTGTCTGTCCATCAGGGGTAACTGGGGAATGATGAGGAAAGACCTCACTATGCATCTGGGTGAGGCTCTGACTGTAGCCCAGGCCTGTGTCCAGGCTCTCCAAGGCCTCTGTACAACAGGACTGGCCAGTCCTCCACCAGCAGCAGCTTAAATCAGTGCTGCCACTGGCTTGGGCATTGACATCCTGGGGACAATCTCCCATGGTTAGCTGGCCAATGACAATTTCCTGCCTCCCAGCCACCACTGTGGGTGCACAGTTCTGCTATGGAGGTTGCTTTGGGCCAGGGCTCCTTCCCCCGACTCCACAAACCTCCTACAATATCTCCCTAGGCCCTGCTTCCTCCATCTTTCCTTCAGCCAGCCACTGGCCAACCTTCCATTTCTTCATGTCTGTTTCCTGGATTTGCTCCTCCCCGACAAGCTGAAGGCTCAGGAGGCTGGAAGATGAGTCTGGAGAGGTGGGCAGGACTGGAATGCCAAACAGACACTAAATGCTTGCATAATTTTCTGTGCTAAGCATTTTTTAAAAACAGCTTTTGCCTCAATTTTATTTGTAGAAAACAGCACAGGGCACTGCTCGCCTGCAGCTAGGGTGTAGGCGTATCACATCCGTCCATCTGTCTTCACATTGGCAGATAGGAAGTCTTTTCTATGGGGCCTTCACAGGGGCCTGGGCACTTTTGGGAGCCTAAGCTGGAGCTGTGGCCTCTGCCTTGGTTTGAGTCTTGGGCTTTGGTTGGCTAAGTCAACAACCTTTGGCCATGTAGCTTCAAACCTGCTTCCAAAGCTTGGGGTGAGAGATGAAAGCAAGATGGTGGAGTTTGCAGCTGGGCCCCTTTGGTGTCTTAACTGCCTTGGGTTTCCAAGGGCCCCAATGGCCTCTGCACATGCACGCTTTGCCTTCCCATCGATGCCTGCATCTCCTGCAAGTCCCTCTTGTGCTTCTTGGCAAAGCGCATGTTTCCCAGGAACCTGGGGTTGACCCCCTATAGAGATTTGTAATTTTGTGACAGAGGTTTCTGTGCCACTTATGGGATTGGTTGTGTGGTGCTACAGGTAACCTCCAGCTCCGAAGTGCCTTATACTAAGCATTTATGCTTACAGGTTATCAAGTGCTTTGATAAAACTTCAGCATCTGAGGTCTTTCCCCCTCTCTCTCCTCCCCCTGCCCCCACCCCAGACAGGGTTTCTCTGTGTAGCACCCCTGATGCCTGGAACTCACAGAGACCCACCTGCCTTTGATTCCCGAGTGCTGGGATTAAGGGCGTGCACCACCATACCCGGCTTTGAGGTCTTTCCCAAAACTAGACAAGCCCAGGATTTCAGGCCCTGACGCTACACAAGCCACCTCTGACAGCTAACTTTCATGAGTCGTCTAAAAAACAAAAAGCACCATAGTCATCTGAAAGGAGTTTGTATAGAATATATTTTACTCTTTAAAAATAAAACTTTCAGCAGCAATAGCATCTATATACAAAAATAAACATCTTCGTATAAATAATTTATATGGCAGGAGGTGGGAAGAGGTACAGAAGGCCTCCTTAGGAGTCACCAAGCAATGAAGGGCGAGGCCTGGGAGAGTGTGCTAAGCACCCTCAGGCTTGGTCCGCTGAGGTGACTGTGTGGGGCAGAAGACAGGGCTGCACTGCAGCTAGAATGCGCCTTTCACCCCAACCTGGACACACATACGTTCCATGAGGCCTATGCGTTAGGAGGCTCTCAGCCAAGCAGTAGCTGTTCTCTTTGGGTGTAAGTGTGGGGTGGCCGAGTCAGGGGAGGAGAAGCAGCGAGCAGCATAGGGCCTTCCAGGGGTCCATCGTGCATTTCACACCACACCCATTGCTTCCCAGTGACGTCACGTAGGGTCTCTGCGATTCAGATGCTCTTTCACTCAGTGGCTGGACCCGGTCCTGGTCCTCCAGTCCTGAGGCTGCCAGAGGTGTCAGCGGCTAGGGTGGCAGCGGGGGAGTACGTGGGCTCATCAGAGGCTGGGTGAATGTAGGCTCCAGGTAGTGGTGGTGGGTGGAGGGCCACAGTCATGGAGGTAGTCACTCTGGCAAAACTCTGGGGCAGGGTAGGGGGCATGCCCCACCTGAGCCCACCTCCTCCCAGTGGAGCTGCAGGGCTTAGGACCTGTGCGCTCTCCTTGTACATCTGTACCACCTGGAAGAGACCCCAGTCCCAGTGAGCCCCTTCATGGAGACCGCCACTACTGCTGACAGGCTGGGCTCCCATCAGAGCTCACAAAACAAGATTGCAAGGCTGGGCAGACCCTCTGCTCTGGGTCCTGAAAGACTAAGGCTGGTCCCACTGAAGGCCGAAGGCATTTGGTCTGTCCCTTCCCTTGCTTTACCACCCTGTCCCTTAGGGGGAGGACAGAGGGAGAGTCTGGTCACCTGTGGTGGGGGGCCCAGGATGGAGAGCAGTACAGGCAGCAGCACGAGTCCATGGAGCAGGCCCAAGAGGGTTAGCACTGTCAGCACCATGAAGAAGTACCTGGGGGGGGGGGGGAGGGGGAGGAAAGAGGGTCAGTGGCCAGGCCCCAGGCCAGGGTGGGTAGTCCCCTCTTCCTGAGCCCTCTTGTACCTTATAATGAAGTCGAAGTTGGAACCAGCGAGCATGAGCAGACCCAGCAACGTGGAGACGGCCCCATGGGCCACAGGGGCGAATGTTTGCTCTAGAGCGCAAGCAGCCCGCAGGGTCCGGCTACCCTGGGTGGTCAGGAAGCCCTAGGGAGAGAGTCCTGGAGTTCTTCTTCTGCCAGTCACAGCCAGCTCATCCAATGTCTCCAGTGGCTGTTTACCCATTCCAGGGCGCACCCAGGTCTTCCCCTACAGAAGGCCAGGTGAACTAACTTCATGGGAGTGGTCTGGAAGCATGGTTGTGTCCATTTGGTATCATTAGAGGTGTCTGGCCACACAGCAATGCCCAGATAAGTGTCAATGGTGTTTGGTCAGTCAGCTTTCGTGCTATGATGGTAAGGTTATGTCACTTGCCGAGTCTGAAACGAATACTACCTGGCCTTTTTTTTTTTTTTTTTTGGTTTTTCGAGACAGGGTTTCTCTGTGTAGCTTTGCGCCTTTCCTGGAACTCACTTGGTAGTCCAGGCCGACCTCGAATTCAGAGATCCGCCTGGCTCTGCCTCCCGAGTGCTGGGATTAAAGGCGTGCGCCACCACCGCCCGACTACCTGGCCTTTTACAAAAAAGTGTGCATGGGGCCAGCAAGATGGTTCAGTGGATACAGGTGCTTGCGGCCAAGTCTGATGACTTAAATTTAATTCCCAGGACCTACAAACTGGAAGTAGAGAACTAGCTACTGTAACTGTCCTCTGAAGACCCCCTCCCTCAAAATTAAAAATATGTAATAAAAAAATGTGTGCCAACTCCTGGCCCAGGAGGATAGACAACATGGTGATGTACTTCTCAGGGTAGCTTTTTTGTTTGTTTTTGAAACAGGGTCTTACTATGTAGCCCTGGCTGTTCTGGAACTCGCTATATAGACAGATCTGTTTGCATCTGTGTCTCAAGTGCTGGAAATAGAGGTTTGTGCCGCCATGCTTACCTTCAGGGTAGTTTTTTTTTTCTTCAAGACACGGTTTCCCTGTGTATCGCTGGCTATCCTGGAACTCACTGTGTGAACCAGGCTGGCCTCAAACTTGTTACATAGCTGGGGATGAACTCCTCCTGCCTCCACCAACCAAGTATGGGATTATAGGTGTATCCCACTATGCCCTATTCATATATTGCTTTTTTTGTTTGATTATTTGTTTGTTTGTTTTAGACAAGGTCTTTCAGGTTACTATGTATACCAGGCTGCCCTTAAAATTGTGGTGATGCTGCTGTTTTTGACTCCTGAGTGCTTGGATTACAGACATGTACTATTACACCAGCTACTATACTGTTCTTGGAATCTATTAGTATGGGGCTGTCGGGAGAAGGATGCTGTTTGTGGAGACTAAGTGGTGTGCTGGTGCTTCAGCTGGCTTGAGAATGGGAAGCTCTGGGGAGTCCTGGACCCTCTTTGGCTCTAACACATTTGTTTAGTAGAATCCCTCCTTCATACCCACATCGCTTCATACCCCATGCAATTTGAAGCCAGGCATGGTGGCGAACCCAGACACGGAGGAGGCAGAGACAGGAGGATCAGGAGTTGAAGGTTATCCCCAGCCACATGGGTGGTAGGAGGTCAGCCTAAATGACATGAGACTGCCTCAGGGAAAATAATGCTTCCTATCTTCCCTCCTTCCATTCTGCCTGTACGCCATTCCAAACAGGCCTTTGGTTTTTCTCACTACAGATGTGGCCCTCATTTGTTTACTTATTTACTGGCCATCTGGACTAATTAAGATGTAATTATTAAGGCTGGAGAGACGGCTCAGTGATTGACAGCATTGTTGCTCTTGCAGAGGACCTAGGTTCCATTCCCAGCACCCACATGGCGGCTCACAATCATCTGTTACTCCAGTTCCGGGGATCCAACACCCTCTTCTGGCCTCTGTGGGCACCAGGCAGGCACATGTGAGCAAAACACTCATGTACATAAAAAAGAAAAGTTGTAAGTAGTACAGCAGTCAATGCTTGATGAAAGAACTGGGCCCCACGTGGTGGTTTCGCACATCTGTAACAACTGCATGCAGGAGGATTAGGAGTTCAAAGTCATTCTCAGCTACAGAGTTTGAGGTCAGCCTGGCCTACAGAGCTAGTTCCAGGACAGCCAAAGCTGCCTAATAAAACCTTGTCTCAAAAACAACAACAACCAAAAAGAGAACTCAAGGCCTGCCTCTGCCTCCCTAGTGCTGGGATTAAAGGCGTGCTGCTGCCTCTATCTACCAGATGATGGAATGACAAGTCCCCGCCACTATGTCTGCCTCCGGCCCTGCCAATTCTGTTTGTTGTTGTTCTCATTGTTAGGCGGGATCTTGTTATGTAACCTTGGCTGGGCCTCCAATTCATAGAGATCTGCTCACCTCTACCTCCTGAGCGCTGCGATAAAAGGTGTGCAACCGGGGCTGGAGAGATGGCTCAGTGGTTAAGAGCACTGACTGCTCTTCCAGAGGACCTGGCTTTGATTCCCAACACCCACATGGCAGCTCACAACTGTTTATAACTCTAGTTCCAGGGGATCTGACACCTTCACACCAAAGCACACAAAATGAATTTAAATAAATCATAATTTATTTATTTATTTATTTTAGTTTCTCAAGACAGGGTTTCTCTGTGTACCTGCCATGGCTGTCCTGGAACTCGCTTTGTAGACCAGGATGGCCTAGAACTCATGGAGATTTGCCTGCCTGCCTCTGCCTCCCAAGAGCTGGGATTATAGGCCTGTGCCACCACCGCCTAGTTAAAAAATAATACATGTGTGCAACCTCTATGCCCAGTTTAACCGTTTAGATAGTTCTTAGTACACAGAGGTGATCTCACCATTTTTGTTAAATACTGATCGGTTGACCTTTCCTCCCAGGGCCTATGCTTACCAGAGCCACGTGAACTGTAAATTCAACACCAATGCCTACAGAGGCCACAAGGATCACCACAGGGATGGCACTCAGCTTGATGCCCAGGAATCCCATGATACCAAAGAGCTCCACAGTCATCATCGCCAGGACCAGCACCTGTGGAGGGCAGGCCTTACCCAGGGCTCCTGGCAGGAGGAGTGCTGGTCTGGACAGGGCAGGGTGGGTGCCACTGGGGTCTCTCCCACTCCACCCTGCAAATACTCACTATGAGGCCGGCTGTCCACGGATTGAGTGACAGCAGAGCACAGACCAGGAAGGTGCACACCAGCAAGATGCAGACCGCCAGCAGGAGGCAGCGCCGCAGCCCCAGGTACTGCTCCCAGAAGAGGAAGGGGGGGCCACTGGGGTAGGCACGCACTCCTGCCTGGCCTGCCTCTGAGCACGCCGCCCGGGCCCCTTTGATGGCTTCCACAAAGTCTGCAGTCTTTCGGAGTCCATGCAACAGAAAGGGGAACTGGGCAAACTCCAAAGGCTGGGCTGCTGGGACTGTGGAGAGGACAGAGGGACAGAGGGAGGGTGAGGGGAACAGTGGAGGGGGGGGCGCGGAGGGTCAGGGCCCGTGTGGCTGAGGACCAGGTTCTAGGTGAGCTCCCCCAGCACTCACTGCGAAGGTTCTCCCCAGTGGTATCGTATTTGTCGTGCAGCCATTCGGGAGGTGGGGGGTAGAAGTTGGCCTGAGAGGCTGCTAGGCCCAGGGGGTCACTGCTCACCCACACAGTTAGCCCCATGTAGAAGAGTTCTGGTGGAATCAGTCCCTCCTTGTCCACCAGTTTCCTTGAGGTCAGCTGTGAAGGCAGAGAAGGTTAAAGGCCTGGGCCATGAGGTCTGGAGCCCACCAGTGCTCTTTGACCGGTCCGCGCACTCCTTACCTGGTTGAAATCCAGAGGCTCCTGGGCATTCCCGGTTTGGATGAGCAGTTTGTAAGCCAGGGCGCCATCTTCAGAGCCGTTTCGGTAAGAGTGGCGGGTAATGCGTCCGGCAGCCCAGTCCTGGTCAAAGGCCGCCTGGATACCTGGAGGTACACAGGATGGGCCAGGATGGGCCTACGGCTCTAAAGACTTCGCTCTGCAGCATCCCTAGGTGCTGGTCTCTTGGTCTCTCACCTTGCAGCCAGCTGCGGTAGTAGTGCAGCCAGGTGCGGGGCGCCTGGGTGGCGGGCGGGGGCAACACGGCCTTGAGGGAGCTGAAACGCTGGTGCAGATCAAACAGGGCGCGTTGGGAGTGGGCGTAGTCAAAGCCACCCTGGGTCACCAAGGCCACCTCATACAGGGAGAAGTACCTGAGCTGGGCGCTCAGGAAGGCATGCTCCTTGGTGCCCCGAGGTACCACATCTGTCAGGGCCAGCCCATCTTGTACCAACGTGGCTCCATAGAGGCTCAGGCCCAAAAGTGCCCCAAAGATCGCCAGCACCAGGGCCTGCGGGAAGCCGGGACTAAGCAGGAAGCCCAGGGCTGCCCTCCAGCCCTCCGCCCTCCTTGGAGCCAGACATGCCGAGTTGCTGTTCTGCCGCACCTGGACTAACCTTGGCTTGTGTCTGGAGCAGTAAGGGTGCAAGCCGATAGCGGGCAAAATGGGCAAGAGTCCAGTGGGCACAGAGCAGGGACTTGCAGGCTGCTTTCGGCCTTGTCCCCTCCTCCTGGCCTAGAAGGTCCCGTGTGGACCCTCCAGGGCTGTAGAGCTCAGAGCCCAGTGGGTCGGAAGGTGGGGACATCAGGTGGGTTTGAGGAGGCAAGATGGTAACTACGTGCTGGCTGCTGGCTTCGCAGTGGGTAAAAGCTTGCACCGTGGCAGTCAGGTGGGCGACGCCCACTGGTACTGTTCTGTCCCCCAGCTCCTGGGGCAGGATCTGAATGACTTGAGCAGAGCAGGGGCTGGAAGAGTCAGAGAGAAGGGGATGAGTCATATGTTGAGGCGCAGGGGAGGGGACGGTCTAGGATGAGGCTGAGGAAGGAAAAGGGTGGGCACACGGGGACAGCACCTAGAAAAGCAGCAGAGAACATCTAGGCGCTGGCGGTGGCGGCGGCGCAGGTCGAGGCTGAGGATGGCTGGGAAGACAAGCATCACGGCTGCAAAGTTGCAGCCGACCACTATGGCTGCCTGGGGAGACAGGAAGGGATGACGGTCGGATGAGGCATGCTCCGCGCTCCGTGTCCACCCTATCCCACCTGCCCATCCATGAGGCCTCACCTGGAGGGAGAAAGCCCGCAGTGCAGGAATGGGGACCAGGACAGCCATGAAGAAAGCGACCATGTTGTTGATGGATGTGAGTGCGACACTGGTGCCCATGCGCCGCAAGCATTCACCCGTGCGCTCCTGCCAGGACAGAGCAGGGACACACTCAGGTCACAGGGAGGGCTGTGGGACTTCAAGACAGTAGGGGAGGCTCAGAAACTTGGCAGAAATGGAATTCTGATGCCACAGCAGTCCACAGTTGTCAGGTACCGGGAATGGGCATGTGCTGTTCTAAGTCTGGAATTACATGGCTCATCCTGTGCCAGCCCTCAGGACATAAACACTGCTACTATTACTCCCATTTCTACATGGAAGATGAACGTACAAAAAGGTTAATGAGCCAATCAGACAAGATTACTCAAACCAAGAGGCTCTTAGCCACTTTGATGAACTACAGATGGGCCCAGGCTGGTGGATATGTCCTTACTGGGAGAGGGGTGTCAGGTGGGGCCTTTGTGAAGGCATGTGCCAGCAGGAATATGTCATCCACGCCGATGCCCAGAGCCAAAAAGGGCAGGACCTGGAGGGGCAGAGGGGGGAAATCAATCATCTGGAGGAACCATGTAGCCTGGAGATGGCCCCCCAAAGGCTGACCCCCAGTCCTGGTCTACCTGAGTAGTAGCAGCATTGAAAGTGATGCCGAGCAGGGCACAAAGTCCAAGGCCTGAGGCCACTGCCAGGGCCACCAGCAACACCCCAGCAAGACCTACGGCACCCTGGGACTGGGCACAGTCCCACCGTAGCATCGTCACACAGGCGTAGGCCAGCTGTGGGGGACAGGACACAATCTCAGACAGGGATTTCCAGGGTGGAGACCCGCTGGAGGGGAGGCAAGGTTGCTAGACGCAGGACCCACCATGAGCAGATAGCCTCCCGCCACACGGGGGGCACTGACTTCAGAGAACTCGAGCAGGATATCGTCCAGGCTGGTGGAGGAGAAGGCGTGGATCTGCTGGGATGCATTGGCAGGCAGAGCCTCCTGGGCTAGCTGCAGAGACAGGGTGAGCGTGAGGGGACAGGAGGAAGGCAGGGCCTCAGAGAACTGGGCTTCCTCTCTGCCCACACTGACCTGCACAAAGCGCCTCTGCCAGGTCTGTAGCACTGTGCTGGCCTGCTCCTCACTCCAGCCAATGTCGTGAGTCTGGTAGTCACCCCGGAAGTGCTCATACAGCTGGCGGGGACTCATCAGCAGGAAGGTGCTCTGCAAGGCTTCTGCCCTGGTGGGGTACAGGAGTGGGAGTCAGAGCCGGCCTCAACGGTCGGTGTGGGTTTGTGGGGTGCTTTCTCCAGAGCTGCCTAGACTACAGTGTGGATTCCCAGGTCCCCTCACCAAGTCCCAGGGGAGGCCCGACCTCAGCAGCTGTCCGTGGAGATCTCTGGCTGTGCCTCCCAGCAGCAGTTCCTCTTGCCAATGCATGAACTTGTGGGAGAAGCCATGGCAGCCCCCACTCAGCTCTTGAGCCACATTGGGAGCCTAGAGGGGAATAGAAAGAAGTTTCTAAGTCTTTAGATTTTGTTTGTTTGTTTGTTTGTTTTGGTTTTTCGAGACAGGGTTTCTCTGTGTAGCTTTGCGCCTGTCCTGGAACTCACTTGGCAGTCCAGGCTGGCCTGGAACTCACAGAGATCCGCCTGCCTCTGCCTCCCGAGTGCTGGGATTAAGGGCGTGCGCCACCACCGCCAGCCTTTAGTAGTAGTATTTTTGAGACAGTGTCTCACTGTGTAGCCCTGGACAGACTGCAACTTTCTATGTAGTTCAAGTCCCTTGAAATCAAGAAAGCCACCTGTCTCTGCCTCCGGAGTGCTGGGATCAAAGGCGTGTGTCCCTTGCCTAGCTCCGTCTAGTCTATTTTGATAAGGTCTGGCCCTGAGTTTAGAGAAGGACAGGCAGCTCCTAATGGTGGCCACGGTCACAACCCCAGCACTTAAGCGGCAGAGGAGGGAGGTCCACTGTGAGTTGAGAGGCCTGGCTGTAGGAGAGGCTTAATCCGGGGGGAAAGCCCAAAAGGAAGAAGAGAAGGTGGATGGAAAGCGACGCGGGTGTGGTGGCACACACCTGTGACCCCGGCACTTGGAAAGTCGAGGTTGGAGGATCATGAGTTCAAGGCCATCCTAAACTACCCAGTGAACGGGAGGTCAACCCGAGCTACAGGGAACCCTGACAAAAACTGACAGAGCTGTGTACGTCAGTTGAACACCTAATATCTTGGTATTGGAGAGGCAGACACAGGAGGACTGCTGAAAATCTGAGGCTGACTTGATCCACATTGCAAGTTTTAGACCATCGAGGACTATATAGCAAGACCCCATTGCAAGAACCTGAAACAAGGGCTGGAGAGGAGTTCAGCAGGCTACGAGCGCCCTCCTGCTTTTCCAGAGGATCAGAGTTTGGTTCCCAGCAGCCACACTCAACATCTCACATCCACCTGCAACTCCAGCTCCTGGGGATCTGACACCCTCTTCTGGCTTCCATAGGCACCCCATATATGTATATTGCCTCCCCAAATAAATCTTTAAAGACAAAGTAAGACTAAAAGCAAGGTATAGCCCTTAATCCTAGCACTTGGGAGGCAGAGGCAGGTGTTGGATAATCTTTTTGTTCACTGTGAAGACATGTCACTCTGGTTGGTTTAAAAAACGCTGAACAGTCAATAGCTAGGCAGGGTTTCTGGGCAGATTGGATCCTGGGAAGAAGAAAGGCAGAGTCACCAGTCAGAAGAGAGATAAAACCAGGATGGGCATAATGGAGACAAGGTAATGAGTGCGTGGAAGAACACAAGATTAAAAGTATGGGTTAACTTAATTATAAGAGCTAGTTAGAAACAAGTCTGAGCTAAGGCCAAGATTTCATAATTAATACTAAATCTCCATGTCATTATTGAGGAGCAGACAGTCCTGACAAAAAATCCGCCTACAGGCAGGTGGGTCTCTGTGTCTGGGGGGGGGGGGGGGGGGGGGGGGGGGTCTCTACACAGTATGTTCCAGGCCAGCCAGGGATGTATAGTGAGACCCTGTCTTACCCCCCCCCCCCCCCACACACAAACAAAAAAAAATCCTGTCTTACCCCTGCCCTCCAAAAACAAATAAACCACATGATAACAAAGAGAAAAAGAATAAAACAAAATACTGAAAAACAAAATGAAAAGGAGAGGGGGCTGGAGAGATGGCTCAGAGGTTAAGAACACTTGCTGCTCTTCCAAGAGACCCAAGTTTGGTTCCCAGCCCCCAGGTCAGGCAGCAATGTCTGTGACTCCAGGTCCAGAGGATCCAACACTTTTGGTCTCCTTGGGTACCTACACTCACATGCACTTAGTACCCACATTCAGGCACACATACCTACAGAAGAAGAGGAGGAGGAGGAGGGGAAGAGGAGGGGAGGGAAGGAGGGTAGGAGGAGGAGAAGGGGGAGGAGAAGGAGGAGTAGTTAGTGGTGGTTGCAGTTTTTGTGCTACTTGAGGGTTCTTTAGAAGTGAATGAGAATGGAACGTGTGTGTGTGTGTGTGTGTGTGTGTGTGTGTGTGTGTGTGTGTGTGTGTGTTTCCAGAAAACGGAGGTGGGCAGAACACCTCTCAGAACATAGAAACACACAGGGAAGAAAGAAGGATGGGAAACTGTTCTCGGCAGACCTGGCAGGAACCCACCTGCCTGCTGTGGTAGTTGGGGGCACTAGGAGGGCAGTGCTGGTCATCAGGGTCCAGACAAGGTCGCCCCATGTAGGCCTGGCCCACCTGTGCTTTTTCGAGCAGCTCCCGGAAGCCTTCCAGAGAGGCGAAGGGGCCCAGCTCCTCTAGCAGCTGCTGGGGATCCAGGTTGGTCCACTGGATATCAGGACGGCCCCTGGGGAAAGCCGGTGGTTAATGAAGATCAGAAATCAATGCCTGCCCCCGACTGTGGCCGTGGGCCCCTGCTTCACTCCAAGGACCTCTTCCACGAGGACAGTGGGCAAAGCTTGGGCTGCCTCCGCTACCAAGCTGCTGCGGTGAGCTTTGGCCACTAAAGGGGCTGAGACAGACCTTAGATATGTGATTGATATGTGGACAGGTCCAGAAAAGCCTTACTAGTCTACACTACGTTGACCCTTGGTCCTAACCTATATCCAGACACGCACCTGCAGCTAACAGGCTTTCTTTTTAATCCAAGCAACAATTCAGTTGACCGTCAGCTACCTCGAGGAGCAAAGTCTCTAGAGAGCTTTGCCTGAGGATCTGTGTTCTGTCTAAACCAGACAGGCCCTCTTTCCCTTCAGAGGTGAGGAGAGGCAGGTGGAGAGCCTTGGGCAGCCCAGGCTGCTCCTGTTGGCAAGGCTTTCACCAGGCTTTTCATTCATGCCCCCACACATCTCCTTTCTGTGTGTGGGGTGTGGGGGGTGGGGTGGGGAGGGGGGAGTCCCTGGCAGGAGATGAAACAGGGCTCCAGGGGCTGGGGCAGCACTCACGGCAGGTAGGCAGAGCCTCCTTGGAGTTTGGCTCCCTCCCAGAAGCAGTCAAGCGGGGTGAGGATCACACATGGAAACAGCTTCTCAATCATCTGCCAAGGACACCCCAGGTCGCATTGGTCCCGCCCCTAGGATACCCTCTGCAATCCTCCCAACATCCCTACCCCCAGTGGAGTCCCTGAGCCTTCCCACAGTGCCTCTACCCAGCACTTGGGAACAGTCTGGGGTACTCACCCGCTCAATCATTCCATTTTCAATAAGCGGAACGCCTGACTTGTAGCAGATTTTATTCAAATCCCAGGACCTGCAACAGCCAGGGCACAGGTGACCAGTAGAAGAGGGACCCCGTTCTGGAACTTCCACAGCATGCATCGTGCCCAGCCTCCCAGGGCTCAGCCAGACTTACTTCCCATAAAGTGACACTTGTACTTTACTGGCTGTGAGGGCTGCCTGGAGGTGAAGGCCCAGGGCCTCGGGGGTGAGGACGCTTCCCCCTTCCTGGCGTGCAGTCTGAATCAACATCTGAGAGGTGTAGGCAGCCTCCTCTCCCAGTTTCTCTTTGGTGTAATGCAGCTCCCGGCTCACCCGGCTGTCCACTGCCAGAGCAAAGGGAAAAGGCTGGGGGAAGGGCCCAGGTAGGCCAGAGCTCTGAGAAATGGGGTCCCCAAATATCTGAGGGCCCCAGGCCAGGAAATGCTGTGGAAGGGTCTCTGCCTTCTCCTTGGTGGGCTTACTGCCCAGACGGATAGCCCCTGCCCCAGCAATCTCCTGCCCCTCTTCTTCTTCTTCTTCTTCTTCTTCTTCTTCTTCTTCTTCTTCTTCTTCTTCTTCTTCTTCTTCTTCTTCTTCTTCTTTTTGGTTTTTCGAGACAGGGTTTCTCTGTGTAGCTTTGCGCCTTTCCTGGAACTCACTTTGTAGACCAGGCTGGCCTCAAACTCACAGAGATTCGTCTGGCTCTGCCTCCCGAGTGCTGGGATTAAAGGCGTGCGCCACCACCGCCCGGCTCCTGCCCCTCTTCTTAGTCAGCAGGACTCTATGGTGGTCTAGAGTTCCAGCATGACCCAGATTGGTGGGGTTCAAAGCAAAGGCTTGAAAAATTGAATAGGTGTAACTCAATGGTAGAGTGCCCGCACAGGATGTGCATGGTCCTGGGTTCAAAAGGGAAATATCAGTGTGAGCTGGGCTTTCAGGGTTATAGGAACAGCCAGGTAAGGTGCTCTCAGCCCCACTCTGCTTAGCTGGACAGGGCAAGGAGGGCCCACAGGGGCCTGTGGGGAGTAGAGGCTGCTTCTAGTTAGGGGCACAGGGTGGTGACGGCAGCATCTGGTAATGACGGACCCTGCAGCCCATGTGCAAGGGGGAGAGTCAGTCTTCAGTGTCACACTTCAAGATGGGCCCTGGCTCCCGTGCCTGAAGAGGTGAAATCAAGGAGGGCCAGAGACCCAGACCCCATTCCTGGGCCTCACTGACAGCCACGCCTGCCTTGGCTTTCTCGATCCCCGCATCCCTCAAGTTTTACATTGTGCTACCCATGGAGTTACGTCGTGCAACTGGGACTTGAGAAAGGAAGGGATATTTTTGTTGTCTTCCCGTCCCGTCTGTGTCCTACCCCCATCCCCCCATGCTAAGAAGGGACATTTTGAGGGCGATATGACCTATGATTTGGAGGAGGGTGAGGGCCACAGCAGGGCACTGTGGGTTTGGTCTGTGCTCGGGCTCAGTTTGGCTTCTACTTGCCTGGCGGCCTTTCTGGCTAGCCACCGTCGCCCTCAGGGATCCACCTTCACCTGCTCCCTGCCTTTTGTTTTTTACCCCCTCACTCTGTGGCCCTGGCTGGTCTAGAACTCACCGGGTAGCCAGGATGGTCTCAAACTAGGGACAGTCCTCCTACCTCTACTTCCCAAGTGCTGAGATTACAGGTGTAGGCCACCATTCCCAGTAGCCAATCTCTTTTTCACACAGGCTCACCTCACTCACCCAGATTTCCATGCATGCTCAATCCCTTATGCCATCCCTCATGAATAGTCGAGTACGGCCACACTGCTTTTCTTTTCTTTGTTAAGATCTATCTATCTATCTATCTATCTATCTATCTATCTATCTATCTATCATCTATCTATCTATCCATCATCTATCTATCTATCATGTATACAGTGTTCTGCCTTCATGTATGCCTGCAGGCCAGAAGAGGGCACCAGAGCTTGCCGGGAACTGAACTCAGGACCCCTGGAAAAGCAGTCACTGCTCTTAACCTCTTAACCTGAGGCACTTCTCCAGCCCCTGGCCACTGCTTTTCTATCCAGGCCATTTACCCTTCTTCCCCACCCACCGATGTCCCCAGTCTACACTGCAGTATTTACTCCACCAGGCTAGTGGCTGCCAGACGGGAGGCAGGAGGACAGGACAGAGAGAAGGGCCCCTGTAAGTGAGGACACAGAGGCGAGGGAGAAGGAAGAAACTGGGGGAGACATGATAAGAAAGCAGGGAGAGAACACAACTTAAAATTCACGAGCAAGACTAAAGAATCCTCCCGATAAAATGCGGACAGAAAAGACAAATGTCAGCTGACAACCGAGAACAGATATCAGGGCAGGCAGAGAGAACACACTGTCCATGGGAGAAGGCAGTGGGTCCGGGGATAAGAACAAAGCTCTCTTCAGGCCTGACCCCAGGCCCAAGCCGTGTCTTTTTTTTTTTAAGATTTACTTATTACGTATACAGTATTCTGCCTGGATTTATGCCTGCAGGCCAGAAGAGGGCACCTGAATGCATTATAGATGGTTGTGTGCCACCATGTGGTTGCTGGGAATTGAACTCACGACCTCTGGAAGAGCAGAGGTCTCTAGCCATCTCTCCAGCCCTGATAGTCCGTGTCTTGACAAATTACTCTCTCTCAGCCTCAATTCTCACCTTTATATATTTATTTTAAAATACTAAAAAATATTTTTTTAGGTTTATTATTTTATGTGCACAAATGTTTTGTCTGCATGTACGTATGTGCAACAGGTGCCTGTCTGGGGCCCTTAGAGGTCACATCCTCTGGAACCCGAGTTACAGATGGTTTGAGCCACCATGTGGGTGCTGGGAATCGAACCTGGATCTTCTGTAAGAGTAGTCAGTGCTCTTAACCACCAAGCCATCTCTCCAGCCCAGTTTACTCATGTTAAATAAGGCTGGGTGTGGAGGCTCCCCCCTGCAAGTCCAGCACTTCAAAAGTTGAGGCAGGAGGACTGGTGTTGAATGTCATGGGCTCACAACAGCCTGGCTACACAGTGAGCTAACCAACCAAACAACCAAAAAACAACCAAACAACCAAAGAGGCAGAGAGTGCCACCTTGGTACTGTTAGAATAAAGGCACGCCAAAGACCTAGGGAATGACTGCACACCAGAGGGCAGAGATGGAATTGTAGGCAGTGGCTGTTGGAAGAGAAATGACATGACAGAAAATGGAGGCGGAACCAGGGGGAGAAATGACTGTGGATGGCTGGGAAAGCAGCAGGAAGGCGGGAAAAACAGAAAATTAGTGCATCTGCTAGGCTGGTTCCTTTACAAACGGGGATATAACTGGCTAACCAGTGTACACTCTCCCCTAACTCTACTCTAACGGCACATGCCAGGCAAGGGCTCTGTCCTTAGGTACATCCCTCTAATCTACTACTTTTTTTTTTCTTCCTTTTTTGGAGAGAAGGGCTCATGTAGCTCAGGCTGGCTTTGAACTTGCTATGTTGCTATGTAGTTGAGGATGACTGGGTACTAATAATCTTCCTGCCTCCTGCAGAGATAAACATGCCTGGTTATATGCAGCTGGGAACCGACCAGGGCTTTCCGAGAGCTGGAAATGCGCTCTCCCAACTGAGCTATACCTCATGTCTGCACCCTACCACGCCTTTTGTTTTTTGCAATGGGGCCTCAAGTAGTTAGGCTGGCCTCAAATTTTCTATGTAGCCAAAGCCGGTACTTAAGTAGCTGAGGTAGGACTGCTGAGTTTAAGGCTAACTTGAACTACTGTGTAAGATCCCATTTGAACAGCTAAACGGCAATGAATTACTATCTACTAAATCAACAAACATTTAAAATTGACAGCATTGCTGTATTATAGAGGTTCACCATGGACTGTAATTTGGTACGTTATTTCAGTATTAATGTTCACAAGCACTAGTCCAAAAATTTTGTCTGTAAAGGCCTAAGAGCTATTGTAGGGACTCAAGTCTTGTGATCGAGACAGGAACCTTAGATGACCTGACTCTAGTGCTATGCACTATTAAAGGTTTGGGGTTTTGATACTGCTAAAAGAGAGCTAGTGGGCTACAGAGTTGGCTCAGAAGTTAAGAGCACTGGCTGTTCTTTCAGAGGAGCGGGGTTCAATTCCCAGCGCCTACATGGCAGCTTACAGCTGTCTGTAACTCCAGCTTCAGAGGGTCTGATACCTTCTGGACTCTGAAGGCACTTGGCATACACGTAGACAAACACCCATGCACATAAAAAAAACCCCAAATAGCCGGGCGGTGGTGGCGCACGCCTTTAATCCCAGCACTCGGGAGGCAGAGCCAGGCGGATCTTTGTGAGTTCGAGGCCAGCCTGGGCTACCAAGTGAGTTCCAGGAAAGGCGCAAAGCTACACAGAGAAACCCTGTCTCGAAAAAACCAAAAAAAAAAAAAAAAAAAAAAAAAAACCCAAATAAATAAAAGAGTGAGCCAGGGAAGAGCCATAACAAAGCTGAAGAAGTGATCGATCAGACAGCGGAGGGCCTGGAGTGTGTACGGGGCTCACAGAAGAGCCGAGGCTCTGCAGGATCTGGTAGGAGGCAAGGACAGGAAGGCCCCAAGCCGGGACGGGACTGAAGTGGCCAGATTTCTGTGTACCCCAGGGGGCGATGTGGAGGCAGATTGGAAGGCAAGGCCAATTCATTTCCTTAGCTTCTTTGCTAGATGACTGATTTTACTGGGTATCCTCAGAAAGGCCACTGATTAAGGATGCCTGGATTTCTCTCTAGCCCTACAGGGCAAAAAACACATTTTCTAAGGTGCCAATCACAGAATCACATTGTATTTTGCTAACTGAAGGATTTACCAGTAATATAATTTTGGCAAGTAAACAGGAAATTGTCTTGGAAGTTTCTCAAAATTTTTTCACTCTATCTATCTATCTATCTATCTATCTATCTATCTATCCATCCATCCATCCATCCATCCATCCATCCATCCATCCATCCATCCATTAACCCACCCAAAACACATTTTCTAAGGTGCCAATCACAGAATCACATTGTATTTTGCTAACTGAAGGATTTACCAGTAATATAATTTTGGCAAGTAAACAGGAAATTGTCTTGGAAGTTTCTCAAAATTTTTTCACTCTATCTATCTATCTATCTATCTATCTATCTATCTATCTATCTATCTATCCATCCATCCATCCATCCATCCATCCATCCATCCATCCATCCATCCATCCATTAACCCACCCATCCTCCATAGTATAGAACCTAGGCTACATATGTCAGTACTTCTAAGTATGTATGTGTATGCCTGTGTGCATGCGTGTGTATGTGCCTGTGTGTGTGTGTGTGTGTGTATACTTCTGTGTGTGTGTGTGTGTGCATGCGCCTGTGCATGGTATGTGAAGGCCAAAGGTTAATATCCTGGTGTCCTCTTCTATCACTCTCCATTTTTTGAGACAGCTTCTCTTGCTGAACCTGGATCTCACATTTTTGCTGTATCACTGGCCAGTGAGGCCCAGGATCCACAGAGTCTGCTCTGCCACCCCAGTGCTGGAGTTATGGATGTGCGCCCCAGGGCCTTTGCACAGGTGTTGGGAATCGGAAGTCAGATGCACAGGCTTGTGTAGTGAGCAAGCACTTTGTCCACCGAGCCACTTCCCCAGTCCTGACACCTCGAGACACCATTTCAATAAACTGCCAAAGCTGCTCTTAAACTCACTCTGTAGCTCAGGAAGTCCTCAAACTATCTCAGTCCACCAAGTAACTCAGATTATTGGCCTGTGCAAACAGATCCAGCCTTCATCACTTAAAGAGATGCAGAAGTGGGGAGATCATTCAGCTTGCCAACCTTTGACCCCCAGGACTACATATAACTGAGTGTGGTGGCACACATCTGTAACCTCAGCACTTAGAAGGGCACAAAAGGCTGGGCAGTGGTGGCGCACGCCTTTAATCCCAGCACTCGGGAGACACAGGTAGGTGAATCTCTGTGAGTTCGAGGCCAGCCTGGGCTACAGAGTGAGTTCCAGGAAAGGCACCAAAACTATACAGAGAAACCCTGTCTCGAAAAACCAAAAAAAAAAAAAAAAAAAAAAAAAAAAGAAGGGCACAAAAGCCGGAGAATCAAGGTTATCCCTCAGTAAGAAGAAGTTCAGGGCCAGCCTGGACTACAGGGGACAGGATCTGCCTATGTACCCCTGGCTGGCTCTCAACATACTCCTGCCTCTGCTTCTACGCGTGTCCAGAGTGACTTAGCTTCCTTGTCTTTTCCTCCTCTTACTCCTCCATCATCATCATTTGGCCCAGGCTGGCCTTGAATTCACGATGTAGCTGAGGCTAGCCTCGAACTACTGATCCTCCTGCTTCCATCTCCCTGGTGCTGGGATTGTATGTGTCACCATGTCCAGGAGCAGGAGCTTCTTGGGATAAGCCCGAGGACAAGTCTGATGTGCTGAAGACAGCAGAGAAAAAAAAGAACCCGGGTCCTGGCTGATGTCTGCCAGACTAATCACCCGGAATTCTCTATTGCCAAATCTCCTGTTACAAGAATAAAACCTCAGCCTTCTTCCTTCCTGTCCTACGGACCCCCTTCTCTCTTTCATGTGGCTACAAGGACTCCTAATGATATAATTAGTGTGTTTTTCGGAAGACTGAAAAGGTCTTAACTCTGGCACCATCACAGGGGTGGAAAGGAAGGGTTAGTTGTGTAAGGGACCATTAAAAGGGAGGGACCAGTAATGAGTGAGAACTGAGATCAGCTCCTAGGCATTTAGCTTTGAGCTGCTGCTGGCCCCACCAACAGGTGCGTGATCACCTCCTGCCCTCACATCCACTGGCTGGCTGCTCCTGTCTTCCAGTCAGGCTCCATGCTATCATTTGTCGTTTACAGAACTATCTATTTGTGAGTGCATGTGTGCAGGTGTGCATGCCTGTGCCCACATGAAGAAGGCAGAAGAGGATCAGGAGTCTGTCTCCTGGAAGCTGTTTTCTTGGCTAGGCCTGAAGCCAGCAAATCCTGGAGACCCTCCATTCCTCTGATGCTGGGGGTTACTGGTGAGTGTGTGTGTGACACTCAGCTTGTCACATGGGTGCCGGGATCTGAACTCCGACCCTCAAGATTGCACAGCAAATGCTCTTAGCTACCAAGACCTCTTTCTATTCCCTCCACGTTATTTTTTCAGACAAGGGATCGGCCTGAGCCTGCGGCTCATGGTCGCAGGGAGACTAGGGGGCAGTCCCACAATCTGCCTGTCCCACTCACCCAGTGCTGGGGTTACAGACGTGCACGCCATGTCTGGCTTCTATGTGGATGTGGGGATCTGAACCTGGGTTCTCATGTTTGTACAGGAAGCACTTTCCTCACCAACTTGTCTCTCCAGCCCCATAACTACCTACTTTTGGACCCTTAGTTTTAAGTAGACCAAGGTAGTGGTGTTTGATCCCTAGCTACTGCCTACCCCCCCCCCAAAAAAAAAATTCAGGAAACTCTGCTCACTGAGGTTCTGCTCCCCCTACTTCCGTCCTAGCAAAACCAGAAACAAGAAAGTCTCTTCGCCTCTCAACTTGATCAGCTCCTCATTGGGAAGGGCATTAAATGAGGAGACTCAACTACAGAGCTATAGAGAAAAGATCATGTCAGGGTCACTGCTGAGACAGGGATCCTACTAATCTCAATACAAAGGAGTCTACGGCAGGAGGATCCCAAGGTCAAGGTCACCTGCATGACCCGGGGAGGCCATAGCCCCTAAAGCCTAGGAATCAGCTCCCATCCCCTTACTCCTAACAACAGCAGGACCTGGCAGGGACGAGTCCCGCCTTTGATGGAGGGCAGGAGGGAGATGAGTCAATGTGGATGTTCAAGCAGTGTTTAATTGGGGAAGATCGGGGGCGGGGGTGGGTGGGGGGGGAGGCAGAAAGAGGAAGGGAAGGGAGGGAGACTCACTTTATTGTGGCAGGATATTCAAAAGTCATTTGGGACCACCCAAGCAGCAGCGGTTTGTGTGGGCGCACACATATATGCGTGTATGCACATGTGTGTCCTGATGCTGGGGGCAGGCTGGCAGGCAGGAAGAAACATCTGCTGTGGACCCTAGGGCTGTCTTAAGAGTGTGAATGCTTAAGAATCTGCAGAGGGCTCGGGGGAGGGTGGAGATGGGGTGTGGGAGCCCAAGACACAGAAAGGCTCCAAGAAACATCTGCTCTGTATCCTAGGACTTGCCAGCATTTGAAATAACTCAAGGGTGTGAGACTGCGACCTGGGACCTGCCTTGGGTGTGGGCCAGGGCTGGGGAGGTCTGGGGAGGCCACAAATGCAGATTTCCCAGGGAGAACAAGAGTAGGCCCTGACTTTGTCAAACAGCCGCCATATGAAACCAGGCATCAGGGAAGAACAGAGGCATGCTGAAATTATTAATTGCTTAATGCTTCCATTGGGAAGTGGGGATTTGATCTCATTTGACCCTGACGATTGCATTAGAGTGCAGTCTAGGTTACGTCTCCACTACATGGCTGCAGGGGCCTGGGTGCCTGAGATTTCTACCCAGAAGTCCAGGCAGATGCTTTGATCAAGGGTTCCTATCCTTCCAGACCTAACTTTTCTTTTTCCTCTGGCTCGCCCCCTTCCCAGTGTCGGGGATCAAACTTAGCCAGGGTCTTGGGCATGCTAGACAGGCAGTCTGCCACCAGCTACATCCCTAGAGATCTTCCTTCTGGCTGTCCTTTTGTCTCTGTCTCTCTGAGACAGGCCACTGTTGAATTCCTAGACTGAAAGCAATTCTCTTGCCTCAACCCCTTGAGTAGCTAGAATGGCAGTCCTCACTTCCAGTTTCCTGGTCTCTCCCTGCCTTCTCTTACACAACACAACTACACTCTGCTCTGTTTTGTATGGAACTTATCCCAGCACACACTTTACTTTCTTTGGCTACTGAAAAAATGAGTCTTGTTCCACTTCTTAAACTCTGATGTACAATTAAAAAAAAAAAAAAGGCTCACTAGTGCTGGTAGCACACACCTTTAATCCCAGCACTGGGGAGGCAGAGGGGGGTGGATCCCTGGATCTTTGAGGCCAGCCTGGTCTACAGATTAAGTTCCAGGACAGCCAGGGCCACACAAAGAAACCCTGTCTCACAACAAAACAAAACAAAACAAAGTAGGCTAGCTATAAATGCGAAATAAACACACATACATAGTCAAAGATAAATATTCTGTAAGCTTATTCATAGGATGCTACCGCCTAGAGGTGTCCATTTATGGGTGAGAGAGGTAGGTGTGAGACTGAGGATACAGCTTGATAGTAGAGATGTGCCCTGGGTTCCATTCACAGCACTGAGGGAGAGTGGGGGAGAGGTAGGCATTCTCCAACATGCCCAGATACACAGGCTCTGATCGGGAGATGCCCTTCCAGATCCTTGACCAGGCAGGCCCGCGGGGGCTCAGTGGCCAGCTCCTCATCCTGACTTTTTTTTTTTTTTAGGTTTTCGAGACAGGGTTTCTCTGTGTAGCTTTGTGCCTTTCCTGGATCTTGCTCTGTAGACCAGGCTGGCCTCGAACTCACAAAGATCCGCCTGGCTCTGCCTCCCAAGTGCTGGGATTAAAGGCGAGCGCCACCACCGCCCGGCCTCATCCTGACTTTTGTCTTGAGCTCCACAGAGCAAAGCAGCTATGGCCAGTGTAACTCACCTTCTACCCAAAGCTGCTCCAAGTCTGTCTCAATTACGGCCACTCGGAGACCCAGTGCCAGAGCCCCAAAGGCTACCAGTCCCAGGAAGAGCACTTTGCCACAGTGTCTCTGGATCCTGCACCCCAGGGAGAAGAGTAGGCCTTGGAAGTAAGCGCGAAGCCAGAGAGGAACCTGCAGGCTTCCAGCTAGGATCTGAGATGGAAAGAGAAGGGTCAGCCAGGTGTCAGAGTAACAATGCAGAATCCTTCCCTTCTCTCTCTCTGTCAAGTCCTGGTTTCCTGACTTCTGGATGCACGGCAGGAAGCAGCTACGGATAGATGCTTCAAACTGAAGATTTAACTCTCTTCCGCTGTGCCTTCTCCACAAGCACACCTGAGAATGCCCATTTTTTGAGCGTTATGAGCCATGCACACACACTAGCTGTCAGTTGGGCACAGAGGCGAACCCAGTAGATGATAAGAAATAAGCTAACACATCACTTGATAGTTCTAACTTGTCTTCACAGATCCAGTTAACACTTGACCTGTAAACATCACACCACCCCGGAGAAGTTCAAGTGACAGACACAACCCCCGCTTCTTCTAGCTTCTCTTTTACTCACCTGAGGAGCTGCGGACCGAGCTGGAGGTGTGTAGCCTGGAGGCAGCTCTCCAAGGGTCAGCGGCCGAACCATGCTGGTGAGGATGGGGGGCGCGAACGCCCCCAACCTGCGTTATCTGAGCGCGGCCATAGGTTAGCTCGGCCCCTTGTGCCGTCTGGGGGATTCGGCTGGGGATTCCTAGGGGTCGCGAACGTGCGGTCGTGGGTGAGACGCGGGTGCAGACGCACAGGAGCAGCCTGGAGCGGCGGTGCGGGGTGGTGCAGGCCCGCAGCGCTAAGTCCCGCTGGATCCGTGGGCCGCGGTCCAGAGTGGGCTCCGCGTGTGGGTGGAACCGGCTGGCTGAGAAGCACCTCACAGCTCAAGGTGGCGACTGCGGGTCTCGGGAAGCAGCAGGAGTCTCAGAAAAAGGAGCGGGCCGGGGTGACGCCCTCCCATTGGCTGAGCGGGCCGCAAATTACCCGCAGCCCGGCTGCCGGATCCGTTGCTAGGTAACGGCGCCGCAGGGGGCGGGGCAGGAGACCACCCAGGCAGGGCCACCCCTTGCCTCGCCTCCCTAGCTCGCCTGCCCGCCCGCGGGGGCCCAAGGGGAGGAGAAGGGGGGGAGATCCTGGAGGCGCTAGTCGCTGGCCAAGTGTCAGTCAGGATGTTGAGAAAGGGAGTGTGCTGGTCCCCTTTGGGCCACCCTTTTTTCCTGACCCAGCGCAACCCCAAAGACCTCCTTTCCACTCTCTCCATGTAGGCCAGAGTCATCGCTCTAAAATGCAAATCTCACGATTGTTCCAAAGCCCAGGACCCTGCACCATCCAACTATAACGAAAGCCTTTTCTCTCATAAGTGCCTCACACCCACTCAGCTGCCGTCCCGTCCCGAATTGCCCTCAGTAATTTCCTAAACCCACCATGTTGTTCACGTATTCTTGCCTTTGTACATGTTGGGGCCCCTTTGTCTTGGCAGATAAACTTCAAACCTGAACTTGAATCAATCAGTCCAAACTTTTGGAAGACTTCCTTGACTCCCTTTCGCTCTTGGTGGATAATTGCTTTTTTTCTTTATGGTTCTTATTAACACTCAGTTTATTTGTGTACTGTATCTTTAAAATTTTAATTAAAAATGTTTTTTAGAGACAAGTTCTCAGGTAGCTCAGGTTGATCTTGAACTCCTGGCCCTATTGCCTCCACCTCTCAAGTTCAGGGATTATACAGGCCTGTATTGGCTCGGCCTGTCTTATTATTGTATTTGTGATGACATAACTTATGCACAGCAACTGAAAGTCTTTCCCCTGCTAGAAAGTGAGTGGTGCTCAACAATAAGAGTTGAAGAAACCAGGTGTAAATGACAGGAGATGAGAAGAGAGCTTGTTTGTTAAATGTCTAGCTTTCCCATCTGATTGTGCTGTTCTGTTTGCTCCTGGTTGATAAACTCTGATATGGCATAGGAGGGTAAAAATCAATAACTAATACGGAAAGTTTGGGAAAGAAGCTGGGCATGGTGGCATATACCTTTATTCCCAGCACTTAGGAGGCAGAGGGAGGTGGATCTCTTGTGAGTTCCAGGCCCCAACCTGGTCTACATAGAGAGCTCTGGGCCAGCCAGGGCTACCTAGAGAGCCCCTGTCTCAGAAAACAAACAAAACAAAGTTTGGGGGGGAAAAAGACTGCAATAAATCTATTATTCTGATACCGCTAACACATTTGGCTAGCCTCTTGCTCAATCTTCCAGACTTTTTAATCACTGAATCATAAATATTTCATGTTACTACACAGGCTTTCCATCAATCATTTGCAGAATGCCCTTAGGACAGATTCCCAGAAATGGGGTTGTTTGGGTCAAAAAGCATAAATATGTTTTTGGTCTTGCTACATACAGCCAAACTTTTTGAAAACTTGTGTGAATTAACATCAGCTCTAGGGTTTAGTCTTAGGGAAATAGCAGTTGGGTTGAGGGGTGGGGTCCTAAGGAGAGATTAGTGCATCTGTCTACAATACTATGGCTGACCCTGAGGCTGACTGGCACCTGGACATGAAAGGAAGCCTGGGGGCTGGAGAGAGAGCTCAGTAGTTAAGATCACCTTTTGGCTTTTGCAGAGGACCTGGGTTTAGTTCACCAGAACCCACAATGGAGAGTTCACAACTGCCTGTAACTCCAGCGCCAAGAGAACCTTCTGGCCTCCTAGGGCAACTTCATACACATGATAAACATACAGGTACCCAGGCACATACACAAAAATAAAGATAAATATTAAAAAAAAGACAGTAAGCCTGTGTGCACAGTACTTTTCCCCGTCATATGAAGAAGGCCTCTGCAGAGAAAGTGTACTCCTAGCAAGACTCTGGAAATAGAAACAGCTCTAAAGTGGGCTTTATAGGACTCCTACATTGATCTTGGGGCTATAAAGACAGGAATTGCTTGGAATAAGCAGAGTGGCATTATAATGCCAGGACAGATCTGGCATTTCTTGAGATCTTTCTTTTTTTTACCAGATTCTGCAAACTAGAGGTCCATAGAGAAATAGGTGTGTAGTCACCTCAGCCTCGATTCTGCTTCCATCACCAGCTGACTGCTGCTATCAACTGCCAGTTGTGGCAAAGTCATAGCATTTTTTTTTAAAAGATGGCCATATGTAGTTGAGTGTGTCTCAAGCTCTGCTCCTTCTGTCTCAGCCTCCTAAATATTGGGATTATAGGCATGCATCATGACAGTTAGCTTGGGCTTTTGACACACAGACTCATGTAGTTAAGGTTGGCCTTCAGTAAGGTTGGTCTTGAAAGGAGGATTGCAGGTATAACCACACTGGGGCTTTCTATGGATGCTTCTGAAAGAGGTGCAGTGTCAGAACTATTGCCAGAAACCATGTGATTAGCAGGAATAAGATAAAGATGCCTGGCCGGGCATGGTGGCACATGCTTTTAATCTCAGCACTTGGGAGGCAGAGGCAGGCAGATCTCTGAGTTCCAGTCAGCTTGGTCTACAGATCCAGTTCCAGGACAGCCAGGGCTACACAGAGAAACCCTGTCTTGAAAAATAAAACAGAGCCGGGCAGTGGTGGCGCACGCCTTTAATCCCAGCACTCGGGAGGCAGAGCCAGGTGGATCTCTGTGAGTTCAAGGGCAGCCTGGTCTCCAAAGCGAATTCCAGGAAAGGCGCAAAGCTACACAGAGAAACCCTGTCTTGAAAAACCAAAAAAAAAAAAAAAAAAAAAAGAAAAAAGAAAAATAAAACAGGGGCTGGGAGATGACTCAGTAGTTAAGAGCACTGGATGCTCTTCCAGAGGTCCTGAGTTCAACTCCCAGCAACTATATTACATGGTGGTTCACAACCATCTGTAATGAGATATGATGCCTCTTCTGGAGTGCAGGTGTACATACAGACAGAATGCTGTAGCTGTATGCATAATAAATAAATCTTTAAAAAAAAAAACTAGAAAAAAACAAACAAGAAGATAAAGAAGCCGGGCTGGAGAGATGGCTCAGCAGTTAAGAGCACTGACTGCTCTTCCAGAGGGCCCGGGTTCAATTCTCAGCATCCACATGGCAGCTCACAACTGTCTGTAACTCCAGTTCCAGGGGACCCAACGCAGACATACACACAGGCAAAACACCAATGCATATTAAAAAAAAAAAAAAAGATAAAGACGCCTGCTTCCATGTGAACAGGGTGTTTCACTGTTACGGCTATTGGGTGTGGGTCTGTGTTTGGGCTCAAACCTGAGACATTCCCCAAAGAATAACAGAAGGGAAGAGCAATCATCTCCAAGGATTAACTCTTAATTACCTATTAGTGAGCTAAACATGCCTACTCTTTCAATGAGCTCTGGGGGTTGGAAGCCTTTTTTTCTTTTTTGGATTTCCAAGACAGGGTTTCTCTTTTGTAGCCCTAGCTGTCCTGGAACTTGCTCTGTAGACCAGGCTGGCCTCAAACTCACAGAAACCCACCCACCTCTGCCTCCCAAGTTCTGGGATTAAAGGCAGGCAGCATCACCACAGACCTGCCTTTCTTTTTTTCTTTTCTTTTCTTCTTCTTCTTTTTTTTTTTTTTTTTAAGGGTTCTAAGCCTGAGGGAAGCCCAGAGATCACAGAGGAAATTACTGACCTGAGATATTCAGGGGTACTCAGGAAGTAGATGGGAAAGGGAGGAGGGGAGCAATCTAAACACAATTCAAGGTCTGATATCTTTGTTATTGTGGTTGAGACAGGGTCTCTGTAGCCCTAGATGGCCTGGAACTCATTATGTAGACTCCGTTGGCCTCAAACTCAGAGATGCACCTGCCTTTGCTTCTTGAGTGCTAGGATTAAAGACTGGTCCAGCATTTTTCCTTTTAAATCTTTTCTTTTTTAAACTTTTGATCTTTCTGGTCTACCTCCCAAGTGTTGGGATTACAAGAGTATGCTACTACATGTGGTTTATGCAGTACTGGGGATTGAACCTAGGGCTTCCTACATGATAGGTAAGTGCTTGCTCTTTTAACTGATCTACAACTCTAGTCCCTAACACAGGATTAAATGAGGTAATATACATTACTGAGAACAGTGCCTCAAGGTGGAACACACACACACACACACACACACACACAGTGTGGGAGAAAGTGAGCACTGTGGCTTCAGGGGAAATCAATATGACTCAGGACAGTTCTTCTTATGTATTTCTCCAGACTTCTCACCATAATTTTTGCTTGCTTCTGTTATCTGGGCCAGGCAGAGGCAATGACCATGATGTAGAGGGAAACAGAGGTGGCCGATTAGAATTAGATGCCAAGTCCGCTATGTGTGCATCTTCCCATTAGGCAGCTCAGGTCAATAGCAGCTACCAAGTCTGGTGCCAGAGAACAGCCCTCAACTTGAGCATGGGGAAGAGACTTTTGGTACCAAAGAGGCAGCTCATCATTTTTCATGTGCCTCAGGTCTAGGCCAGGTCATTCTGGTCTTCAATACAATGCCCCTCTTTTCCTCAGCGTCAGCTCCATTACAGAGCTTTCTAGACCTTCTACCTGGGTGGTCCTTCCCACTGACACAGTTAACCACTGTTTTGTTTTTGTTTCTGCTGAGAAGGGGTCTTCCTAAGTTACCCAAGGCTGATCTGGAACTCCTGGGTTCATGGGATCTTCCCACTTCAGCTTTTAAGTACTGGGACTACAGGCACCCAACACACACTGGACTATAAAGGTCTGGCTTCTGCATCTCCTTAAGGGTAGGGATGGCTGAAGTTAAACAGAAAGGTGCTCCCTGTACATTTCATCTTGGGAAGGAACTTACAGGGCAATCTTGTCAGCAGGCAGGAAAAAAGTGTTGAGAGATGGTTCCTGCAGGAGCAGTCCTGAACTAAGTTTTCTGAATAGCAAGCTTGCAGAAGTGCCTCCTCTCTCTCTCTCTCTCTCTCTCTCTCTCTCTCTCTCTCTCTCTCTCTCTCTCTCTCTCTCTCTCTCTCTCTCTCTCTCTCTCTCTCTTATAGAGTCTATGTAGCTCTGGCTGTCCTGGAACTATGTAGACTAGGCTGGCCTTGAAGAGATCTACCTGCCTCTGCCACCTTAATGCTGGGATTAAAGGTGTGCACCACTAAGCCTGGCTTCAGATACATTTTTTACGTTAGCACCTTCTCAGAGGCCTCCTTGAAAGTTGCCTTCACCCTCTCTTCCTTTATTTCCTTTTCAGACATCACTGGGAGAAGCAGGGCAGGCTCAGCACCCCTTCCTGGCTGGCAGGCCAGTAGACATTCAGTTGCTTGCTACATAGCAGACATAACCCATCTGCAGCTACCAAAGGGAAATAAACATGGCTTCTGCCTACTGGTAGACAGAGCACAGAGAATAACAGCAAAGCATTGTGGGCATCTAGGAGTTGCTAGGACAATAGCAACAGTGTCCTGAGATGGAAGCTGCTCTCAGCTGGGATTCAAACTTGAGAATATTCCTCAGCTCCTATCCTTGGTGCAGAGCAGGGTGATAGCCCTGGGTCCCGGGAAGGCAGAGGAGGGGTCTGGAACAGTTTAGGTAACTCCTCTCTGCTGTCATCTCACATTTCCACCTCATCTACCTAGCTTTACCCCTTTGCGGTCTGAGACTTCTGACTGTCTGGACACCTATACTCTGTGGCCAGCAGCTCTAAGAAAAGGACTAAACCTGAAGACAGGAAGGGGCTTTAGAAAGCACTCAATCTGCCGGGCAGTGGTGGCGCACGCCTTTAATACCAGCACTTGGGAGACAGAGGCAGGTGGATCTTTGTGAGTTTGAGGTCAGCCTGGTGTACAACGTGAATCCCAGGACAGCCAGGGGAGTTAATACAGAGAAACCCTGTTTCAAAAACAAAAACAAAAAACAACACCCCCCCCCCCCCAAAAGCACTCAATCTGGGAGCTGGAGCTGGCTCAGTGGGTAAGAGTGCTCTTGCTGCTCTTCCAGAAGATCCCAGAATAAGCACTTCTTGTATCTCTAGGTCCAGGGGATCCTATATCCTCTTCTGTTTCTGCAGGTACATGCACACACATACTCAGACATAGAAATAAGTTAAAAGTTAAAATCTTTTTTTTTTTTTTTGAGACAGGGTTTCTCTGTGTAGCCCTGCCTGACCTGGATCTCGCTCTGTAGACCAGGCTGGCCTCGAACTCACAGAGATCCGCCTGGCTCTGCCTCCCGAGTGCTGGGATTAAAGGCGTGCACCACCGCCGCCCGGCTGAAATATTTAATGTGTGAAGCTTTATTTATCTTTTCATCACTTGCACATCTGGTGCCCAAGGCTTCAGATCCTCTAGAAATGGAGTTACAGACGGTTGTGAGTCACTTTGCAAATGCTTGGAGTTGAACCTGGGTTCTTTGGAAGAACAGCCAGTACTCTCAAAAAGTGGGCAAACAATTGAATGTCCAAAAAAAAAAAAAAAATTCACTCACTCTAACTCAGGTCAGGAGAGGCAGTGATTGGGCTAGAACCAAACACCATCACACAAGTCTTCTTCCACTCAGCCCAGGACACTGTTTCCAGTACCACTTGACACCAACCTTTGTTATCGTCCTCGTCCTCGTCATCATCATCATCATCATCATCAATTGCTATTTTATTGTTTTTTTGAGACTGGACCTCACTATGAAGACCAGGTTGGCTTTGAACTCAGAGATCAGCCTGAATTAAAAGTGTGCACCACCATGGCTGGACTTTTTTTTAATTAAAAGTTTTTTTTTGGGACAGGGTTTCATGCAGCCCGGGCTGGCCTCAAACTCCCCATAGCTGAGGATAACCATGATCTTCCTACCTCCTCCTCCTGAGTGCTGGGATTATGGGATTATGCCACCATACCTGGCAAAGAACCCACAAGTTTAATTCTAGTTCCATAGGAACCATTTTGGATACTATCATAGTTCTTCCTCTCTCTCTTTCACGCCCATGTGTTCAACAACTTCTGCTGGACCACCGGGCTCCTGTCTGATGAAGGCAATCCTCCAGGAGCCCTATCTTCAGCACTGGGAGGGATGGAGAGTCAGAGCTCCCAAGACTGGTTGGAGGTGGGGCTTCCCCAGAGTAGGCATGCTCATCTTTCAAGTTCAATGAGACCAACATAGGATCAGGCAGGTTACTCAAGTGAACTTGAGAGCCTGGAAATTTTTGAAGCAATGTAGAAACCAGTATTTCAAACTATCCTTTATTATAATTACTGCCACCCACAGTGAGGACATCAAGAGAAACTTTTACTTTGATAATTCTAGGAGGTGAAATCTTACCCCAGGAGTCACTTTTATCTTCCACTAACACCTGGAGGTTGTAAAAGCAGTGCAGGGAGAGACAAGAGCAGAGTGTTCTTATGTTCGGGAGCGGGAGTGCAAACTGGACGGGATAGGGCTCCAGAGGGCTGTGAACAGAGAAACCTCATTCTCCAATTATCCGAAGCATGGGTGCCTACATAATTAAGACAAAAAGGACGCAGCTGGAGAAAAGTCAGGACGACTTTCAAACTGTAACACTAGTTATTGGCTCTTCCTTGCCAGGCTAAGTGGGCATCACCAAGGGTGTGGTAGAAATGGAGTAGGCTTGGCTCAGAACACCGTTTTAGATTATAGCTTTTGCCTCCATGAAAACTGTGGGGAAAGGCTGTTCACTAGCCATGGGCTTACTTCAGCTTGCTTTAAAAGC